TTGCATTTATTAAACTTTCTTTCCTGTGTCATTATTTCATGCACACTAAAATGACTATAGTGTGGGGCCTCCACCAAATGTTTGGAAATGGTCCCGAATACAGTGTATAATAGCTTCTCAGGAAATTCTGCTGATTTGATTTGTGTGTGTTTTTTTCTGGATATTTAAATAGTTATGATGCAAAGTCATTTAGAGTGGTTTGATGAAAAATGCTCCATTCTTGAAAAACTTAGCAAATCAGAATTGTTCACAGTGGTGGTGATAGGAACCAGACGTCTGAAGTTTTTAATGCCTATTAAAGCTACAGAAAGTTAATAATGAAATGGTTCCGGATGCATGCAACATTGTTCTATGATGGTTTTGAGATAAGATTTAGTCTAAAACATTTTTAAAATTCTCTCATGGCAGAGAGGTAGGCCTTTATGTAGGGTATTTTTAAGACAAAATAGTCCCCAGATAAATGCTGCTATACCATCATCAACATTACATATACAGTAAAAACTCACACACAGTCTTACTGGTCATTTTGGACAATAATGATAATTAAAATGCCTATATTTGCATTGTAGACATTGTGCCCCTGGTTTATATCACTAACACTGTAAAGAAATCTGCATTGGTAAAGTTCTCTAGAATGGAGCATTTCAAATGAAACCACTTTAAATGACTGTGTTTACATCCCAATTTTTACATTATGCTGACGTTTTGAAAAATCAGTGGAATTCCCCCTTATGGTCAGGCGGGGGATGGGCTGGGGATGTAGCATGCAAGTATTAAGCTTGAGTTTGAATCTCTTGGCCCTCCATTTAAACTGAAAGAGTCTGACACTTGAATAGCATGTCTACTAGAGCCTGTACAAGAGTGCAGACTGGTTTGTGATTGCACCTCAGTGTGTCTAATGCTCCTGCTGCACAACTTGGCAGTGTCTCGTGGGTCGAGCCCTCGAAAACATCAGACACTCTGGGATTTGACTTTGTTTGTCTCCTTGGGAGAAAGCTGTTTCCATGACTGGCTCACACAGTGCATAAACCACACACATACACACGTAGAGTACATAGAGACACACGTACATACAGGAACACAGGCACTCTCAGACATAAAGGTACTAATTGTCACTGAGGTGGTACCCCTCACGTCACTGGGCACCTTTAATTAGTTAACATAATTGAGCCATATTCCATTGCAATTATATTGTTTGAAGTTACATTGTCTCTGTAGACCCTGTCCTGTCTCCAGGCATTTTTTTCCGTTTTGAAACATTATGAAAAAGTATGCTCCTTTCCCTGGGAAAGTGAACAGATTATACTTTTAAAACACATTTAAGGTACACAATTACCTTAAGACCCGTGTTATAGCTTTGAGGGTACATTTACACGTTTGTACCTTGTACCTGTATAGTACCTCTTTTTTCTGCCAGTGTGCACCTGGCAACCCACCCCCAAACACACACAGCTCCATTGGGTCCAAGTTACATGCAAATACACATTTTGTTTATGCATGCGCTTTCCTGACACATGCTCTGACATCTACCTTGGAGAAAACACTGGGCAGGAAACTGCATCTGAGTGTGCCCTCCTCCATCCTCCTCTCCTTCATTACCCAGCATGTAGTACAGTTCCCCCTCCCAACTAACACACACACACACACACACACACTCTTAATGCTGCAATCCTCTTTGTGAAAGTGACGCGCTTCTGTCAGAAACAGAGCTAAGCTGGAGAGAGAGAGAGAGAGAGAGAGAGAGAGAGAGAGAGAGACAGAAAGAGCGGCAGAGAGACAAATACATGCTCCTGCACTCCAGATAAATTAGTGTTTTGTTTTCATCCTGCTCTGCTATTGGTTCCTCGTGCATAACCAGCCACTTTTCAGTGGTGAAGTGGCAACTTTATTTGAAGACAGCAAGTCTTAGAAGAACAAGGGTTCTCCTGAAACATCTCTGGAGAGCTCTACTTAGTTCTACCAAGACATCCCTACCAAGCAGCCCTGTTTAGTTTTGGAGGAAGCCACTTGCAGCACTGGATGATGCTGTATGGGACAAGCCTGTGACTGTGCCCTCCTACTAAAAGGAATCTGGGCCTCTCTTTTTGAGGAACAAACTTGTGTGTGAGTCAGTGTAACTCCAGCTTGACCAGTCGGTGAATGCACAATCAACAGCGCAGCAGCTGGTGTGTGTTGGGGCTCTGGGGGTCAGCTGGGCTGGGGCAGGGCCACAGTGGAGGAGAACACGCTGGATTTCTCTGGGATGGAGGGCCATGGCTATGAGCGCTACATGGACGGGGAACACGATGGCTATCAGATTGACTACCGCCGCATTGTGGGGGACACAGAGCCAGCCAGGCCTCGGCTGAGCCCCCGAGACCAAGACCACCACTTTCATGGCCCATTCGGACACAACACACCCCACGGGCACGGCCATGGGCACGAAACTGCTGCCCAGCGCTACAGCGCCACACGGATCCAGGCCGGCTATGAGCCAGAGAGGTGAGAGTGCACCCCCTTATAGTTTCAGCTAGACACACAAGACAGAAACACTTCATGTTGTTTGTGTCTGTATAGCAATACAGAGTTTTGATCAGCTTAATTAATCAAATTGGACTTGGTAATGTTACACTGATGAAAGTAGGGTATAGAATTGGCTGAAATGTATACATGTATATAAAACTCAATTTGGTATTTTAAATTACATGTTTACAGTTGTCTTTGTTGATCCAGTATATTTTATTCATGAGGAAATAATGTAAACATTTACTGTTATCAGTGTCATGACATTAAAAACATTAAAGACTGCTTCATATTTTTACAAAATGTTACATTTCCTAATGATTAATTTTAAAAAATGACATGAGAATTTCTTTCCACTGTTTTGTACGCCTAAGCCGTTGGACACATTCATTTCCGATTACAGCACATGCATTATGATAGTATAAGCTGTTTTGAGTCATAAATGTTCAGTCTGAGGAATGTGGAGTTGTTTTGGTGTAAAAGCTTTTAAAAAAGTGCAGTGAATCTGTACCTGGAACTGACATGAATACAATCCTCTTAGCAATGCAGTCCTGCCAGTGCAGCCTAAGGCCGAACAGCAGCACGGTCAGGGGGTCGGGGGGGAGAAAACCTTTTCACTCATAATGCTTAAAAATGAATCAAAACAAGATTACATTAGCTTAATAGTAGCACCACAACTACCTGTAACAACATAACTCTGGAATACTGCAGTAGCTGTAGCAGCAGCATTCAAACATGACCACTCGCCTTCTTATCCCCATTCCTATCTGATGAAGGATTACATTAAAAAGAAAGTGCTATATATTTTATACTTAATCTCTGGTTTAGAGTAAAAATCCTGCTATGAAAAACAGAGTGAAACTGCTTAGAAGCATCAGATTAAAGGCTCTCATTTACACAGCCATAACCAGAGCATCATATAATAACGCTTTTTACAGAATGACTGAAAAAAATGGCTTCAAACATACAAATGTTCGGTTGGAAAGATGCCCAACCCACTGTAAAACATGCAACCTGCTGGGTAGACTTGTTTTTAGGGTGTTCTTCTGGATCCATTGGACCACTCATTTGGGGCAGGAGGATTATTCTGACACAAGCCTCATTTTTTGGTTCTTCTGAACTGAAATGTTATGTTTCAGAAGTGATGTGTTTTGTCTCACATATGCAGTTTGCCTAAATACAGCCAGTGTGGTTGAAGTTATTCACCAAAATAGTCAAATGTGAGTGGGTTTTTTGTATGTATGAGTGTATTTAAAGCAGATAAATGTGTACTCTTACTGTAATAAATAAATCAATAAATAATAGCATCTCAAAGAGCAGGCCTGAAAATCCTTGCCCATATATTAGTTCAAGGATTTGGACACTTTTGCCATTTAGCCATTGATAAACTGCCATGAAGTTCTTTAAGTTACTTCATAAAATGTTTAGCAATGTGATTTTTGTTTTAGAGAAAAATAAAAAAAAACTTTTAGCCTAACATCAAACTGATGGTAGACTTTTTGTTTGGGCAAAGTCTGGAGAGGAATTCCAGACTGTACTGAGGCTACTGTAAAGCACAGAGGTGGAAACATCAAAGTCTGGGGCTGTTATTATTACAGTGATGTCAGTAAGCTTGTGTTCACTGATGGGGTCATAAAGTCCGAAGTGTCCAAAGAAATTTTGGATGCAAACCTGCAGACATCTGCAAAGAAACAGAATAGAGCTCAAAATAGCGCATGTTTCAGAATGATAACAATAATGATAACACACCAGCCACCAAGAATACTGTGCCAAAAAATGACTGCAATGGAAAAGAAATAAACATTACTTGGTTAGAGATCTTGTTTCCTAGCATGATAAACTTCAAATTCTAGGGCTGCTGTAAAGGCTATAACATGGCCAGTGGGTGGGTCACCCCCACTCCACCTGCAAGAGCAGCGCAAGAGCAGAGAGAGAGAGAGAGGGTTAAAATGTCCCCCTGTTCGAAACCCTGCTCGTGACATCTCGTATAAGTAAAAATAAAGCGTGACAACTTAATAAGCTGTGGGAACAAGATAATGAAGCCATGGCCACGACTTAGTAAGGCGTGGGAATGAGATAATTATTTCTTGACTGCAGCTTAATAAGGCATGATCTCGTTCCCACACCTTACTAAGTCATGGCCAAGCATTATTGTTATTCATATCGCTGTCACTAGCAGGGCTCCGTAGGAGGAGATGTTTCAGTGTGAGCCCAGTATGGAGCCCTGCTGGTGACATCCCATATAAATAAAAATAATACACGGCCACGTCTTATTAACGCGTGGAAATGAGATCCTAATGCGTGGCAATGACTTAGTAAGGCGTGGGAATGAGATAATTAAGTCGTGGCCACGCATTATTTTTTATTTATTTATACAGGATGTCACCAGCGGGTCTCCGTAGCTCAGAGAGGGGGGGGGTGGTCCTGTCGTTCGCTCAGAGAGAGAGAGAGAGAGAGAGAGAGAGAGAGAGAGAGAGAGAGAGAGAGAGAGAGAGAGAGAGAGAGAGATGTTCCAGTGTGAGCTCCTGTGATTGGGTGGCGTGGATGAGTAGATGACGGGAAAACTCAGTGGAAGTTGGAGATGAAGCAGGAGTGACTCCCTAAAATCGCTCGTCTCTGCGCGCCGCCTGTGCTGACTGTGTTCTCGCTGCAGCACGTGAGTAAACCGACTAGAGCGACACTCACCCGTCTTCACTCAGAGAGGAGTAAACGGCTCTGTTACAGTGCAGTGACAGGATCTCTGTGTGAGTGAGCTTTATGAGCTTTAGTGGTCTGACGTGTTTACATACTGCGAGTGAGGGGAGTATGGGAAATAAATGAGGATACGGCGTAAAGAGTGGAGAAAGCCTAGCCTACAGCATCAGGATAAAAATGATCCAGTACCCAGCCTCACAGCTGCTGCTAGGCTTGGAAATGATGATAAAGGGCGGTAGGGCGACGCCCACTGACCCACTGTCTGATACAGGGCTGTCTGATACTGCACTATATGTGCTAAGGAAGGTTCAACTTGGCAACTTTCACCTTATTTTTCATTCCAGAGTGCTTCATGAGTCAGAGCTTCTGCTTTATTCTCTCTTTCTCTAGGTCTGATTGTATGTAATAGCTTTTTTCTTATGTTCCCATCATTAGAATAAATGCTTTAGCTTGTTTTTGTACCTGTTTGTGAGATCGAGCACAAATAAGATTGTATTAATTAACTATTTATCTGTTTGCTTATTTTGTCATACTGTGTTGAAAACTGTGCCAGTAATTATCCGCTCAGTCATCACTCAGCCTTCAGCATATCACTGCTGTGGGAACAGAACCTTGTCCCTCTATTTTTGTTGTTTTTTATTTTTCCAATATGATTTGAAAATGCCATTTGGCCTTACACTTTGTCAGAATTTCAGAACAATTAAGATCTTAGAATTAGATCTTGTTCCATTAACTTCCACCGAAAGTTGGGGACTTTTTTCCTTTCCCTGTAAAATGACCTTTTTGGAATAAAGCCTTTTACAAAGTTTTGTTCCAACCGCAACGATATGTATGTCTGATGAGTGCAGGGGTCTGTATGTCTGTGTCTGCAGTATGGCTGATTACCTGATCAGTGGAGGGACAGGCTATGTGCCCGAAGACGGACTTACTGCCCAGCAGCTCTTCGCTATAGGAGACGGTCTCACATACAAGTAAGTCTATCTGACTCTCATCACTGCTGTATTCAAGCTTTATACATGGCTCTTCAAAGTAAAGGCAGTGATTAAATATAGAACTGTGACAATCAAAGAACTATTTGAATGCATAAATGGTTCTTTGCATGGTTAAATGGTTCTCAACCTGCTGCATATGGTTCTCAGAATCTTAAAAAATGGTTCTGTATAGCACCAAAAGGGGTTCTGCTATTGTTACAAACCATAGAAACTTTTTTGGTACTATATAAAACCCTTTTTGCTAAGAGTGTAGGCCTGTAAGAAAGTTTGACTTTTACAAAGTCTCATTTTTTTTGAGGACAAGCTCTCAATGGCTTAAACAGTCTGAAAAAGCACTAAGTATGTATTTATTTATTTATCAATTAATTTTTGAGGTGTACACATGTACAAAAGTGGTTCCTCAAGGGTTCTTAAGGAAAGGCAATGGTGATATATAGAACTGTGACAACTCAAAGAGCCATTTGAATGCGCAAATGCTTCTTAGCAGGGTTAAATGGTTCTTGTCTGGAATGACCCTTCATATAAACCTTTTCAGTATGATTCTGTATAGCACCAAAAAAGGTTCTGTAATTGTTACAGGCCATAGAGCCTTTTTTGGTACTATATAGAGCCCTTTTTTGCTAAGAGTGTGGTGTGTATACAGCTTGTTTTATAGACAGGCACTTCTTCAGACATCTATCAGGGAGATGACTCTGAGCTCTATGGCAACCTTCGGAGTGTATCCATAGAAACAGAGCACTTCATGGTTCTAAGGCCTACAAGAGAGCAAAGAGAGAGAGAGAGAGAGAGAGAGAGAGGTGTTTAGAGAAATCTGAAAAACAGGTCATGGCCTTTCTTGTCTCGGCTATCAAACAGGAATAGCCACCTTTGATGATATTATCAAAGATATGAAGATGTGCTCCTAGCCACTCATTAGCAGAGCAGTGGTCTCAGTCTATTTCTGTCCGCTTGGCCGGATTCTTTAATCTTCCCTAATGGAGGCTTTATCTGTGGTAGATCACAGACTGGAGGACACTCTGAAATGCAGCAGTGGGCCTGCCGTTCTGCTGTGCTCTCTGCGTCTCTGTCTGAAACATGTGCTTATGCATTTCCTCATCAGGGTTAAGATTACTGATGGCCGCCCTTTGGCTGCCTGTGTGTCTCTCCTGTCCTCTGGTCTGACGGTAATGCTGCTTTCACAGAGACACTGTGTGGTGATGACACAGTTAAGAACATTAACAGGACGTCTCTGGGCGCCATACTCTTAAGTAGATTATGTAACTCTTTACAGTACCGGATCATCATACACAAGCGCACACACTTGCTGACAAGTCACACACTGGAAAATACGTCACTGCTCCTCGTATCACTGTATCCTACATAATTTTGTTTTGCACTATTTGAAAACACCAGATGGCCTTTGATGAATGGGTCTATAGGAAATGGTCAAGAATTACGTTTCTTTCTACTATGAAGTTGCTAAATCAAAGAAACAAAAATATCTTATTACACTGACATTATGCTCATATCTGTGCCTTCTGCTCAAACAACTATACTGCAATTGTAATTATAAGCAGTGATGGAAAGTGGTTACACTTAGGACATGGAAAATCACTTGAACAAGTGTGTCTAAGTCCGTACTGTTCACCTTCTGCTGGTAAAAAGTGGCTGTAGGAGGAGCTCACACTCTCCTCACACTCAGCCAAACCTGTGAGGATTGATTTTTACATCTGGTTTGTTGGGTCCAAGGCCATTTTGTGTGTAATTTGCTTCACTGCAATATACAATGAGAATTAGACAGGTGTCATTTGTACTCATCATAAAAGATTTGGTGACACAGCTGTTCAAAATGTGTTTAATACAGCTAAGCATGCTTTCTTTGTTGATGTGCAAACACATACCAAGCTTATTTTGAGCAAAGTAATATCTAACTTGTCACATATGTGACAATATTAGTGACAGTGCTATCTTGGGAATAATGCCAAACCCCACATATTTCTCTCTTTGTTGTGATTACAGGTGTTTAAACTGCCTTTGAAGCAAGATTCAACCTGTGCTTTAACAATAGTTTGGAAAGGAAACTGTTGTCATTACTATAAACCTGCTCTTCATACCAAGGAAGACACTTTGATGACTGAGTATCTGCAGAATATACTCAGTTTTAGCACATAGCTGCTTTATGTTAACAAAACCTTTGCAGTCATTTTTTTCTTACTTGAAGTAATACCAAGAAAATGAAAATTTGAAAAGAAAATAGTGTCGTCAAACTTTTGATGGGCAATGTATGTACACTAGTTACATATTAACCCCTTACATGGCCATGGACCCACAGGCAGGCCCAAAGTTTTGTTACACACTTCTGTAACCTAAGATTAGCTCAGCCAGTTTGCACTGAAGTCCCTGCATTTACTGAATAATCTAAAAACTTTAGTATATTATAAGCCTGGGATTTTAAAGGGTTAATAACCTGTAATATTAATAATTGCTGTTATTTTATTAAATAATAGCTTACATTGTATACTGAAATACTATAGATAGACAGCATATTTTGGGATGTTTCAAAATGAATGATTTTATTTTTTATTCTTTTGAGTACACCAAGACAGTGTTAAATGATAAAAAATATAAAAGTGATAAAAATGATCTATTTATTGTCATTTCTTGCTAAGCCATCTGTCTGACATCTGATTACCATGTTTCAAATACAAGGCATTCTGGATGTTAATCATGTACAGCTCTGTTCATCATTCTCTAAAATGTCTTCACTTTTTCAGCTTCCTAAAAATTAACTGAAATCTGTGAAGTCTGTAGAGTAATAGTACTGAAATAGAATACGTTTCATTATGCACCATCAACATTTTTTTTTATTGAAAACAGTTCTAGTGCATGTCTGTCTATCTAACATTATTTCTGCTCTCACTGATGTTATTCTGAACTAACCGAGGCCCTAATGTCCCTTTTTTCTTTGCCTCAGTGATTTCCTAATCCTGCCTGGGTTCATCGACTTCACCTCTGATGAAGTGGTGAGTACTCTTGGAACATGTTGCTGAGCCTGGGTTCCTTATATTTCCCTCGAGGACTTAATTATATGTGTGTTCGGTAAATATAATACATTTAGTAAATACAGTACATTTGGTTCAGTGAGGGGGAATTTTCCTAATTAAATTGTGAGCTAAAGGTCTCCTCTGTCGGCTCTGAGATGGAAAAGCTGAGTCAGTTGCTGTGCAAACTGAAATCAAAGCGAAGCAGTGAATGGAGCGTTAGATATACAGCTGGTTATGGGACGGTGGAAAGGGGTGAGAGAGTGCAAATGAGCTGTGCAAATGAGAGGCTCAGGTGGTGTTAAAATCCCAGATGTATAGGACATGTTCTCACAGGCAGGGAGGCTGAGGAGTGTGTGTTTGTGTGTAGGTGTGTGTAAGCACATGAGAGTGGGTGAGAAGAGGACTGAGACTCAAATGCCTCTGTATGTAATAGACCAATGAAAGTTGCAAGTTTGGTTTCTTTTAGATGCTTAAAGAGCCTATTTCATGGAAAATTACATTTTCTTTGCTTTTTTTTTAATAAAAGAGAGTATCTAAGCATAATATTCACTCCCAGTCCATGCAGTCCAAATATAGAAACTTAGCAGCTTCACTGTTTTTGTGAAGTCACAAAACATGAATGCATTTCCACGTATCCACCTATTCAGCCTGCATCAGCTTAGTGTTAAAGTTATAAGGAGTGTGTAGCACGGCATGTGCTACTCCGGGCTCAAGGAGGACGCTGGAGGCAGGGTTTAGGGTTGCAGCAGCCATCTCTTTAATCCAAAACAACCAAAAACAGACAAACCCAAACAATACAAAGAACCTAAGCTGGCCACTCTTCAGTGGCTTCAGTCCCTTTAGCCTCAATAAGGAGCTTTCCAGCTCCTCAGTCTCTTGCTGCTGCTGCGTGTCCCTCTCTCTCTCTCTCTCTGTTCCCTCTCAGCTCTTTTAAAAGGCGCTCGAGCACCTGAGCCGAGAGGGAACGAGAGCTCGCTGCTCCGCCTCCTCGTCACCGCCCCCAGCTGGCGGCTCAGCCGCCCGGGTCGAAGGTGAGGTGTAGTGGCGCGGCCTCGCTGCGTAACAGGGGGCGGGGCCCAGGCGGCGGAGCTCGGGACTCGCTCCTTCCCCTGGTGCCTCTCGTTACCGGCACCGTCGTCGTCTTCCTCCTCCCGCCGTCACTCTGCGCCACTCCGAAGAGCTCGGGCTTTTCGCTCCGCCCCCTCCACACTCGCGGCTCTCTTCCTGCCGCCCTGGCCGAGGTTCGTCGCCGCTGGGTGTTCGGGCCCCGCCTTCCTGCCGACTCTCGCGGCCGTCATCGTCGGGGCCCGGGGGGCGGGCGCATGCCACAGAGTGTTTCAGCCTGGGCTGCTTTTTGAATGCAGCATAATACATGGAAGCCAATCAAAGCAGACCTTATTAACCCCTTAAATGGCCATGCACCCACAATTGGGCCCAAAGTTTTATTACACATTTCTATAACCTAAGAATAGTCCTCCATTAGGGAAGTCCCTGTAGTTCCTGAGTAATAAACGAGATTTTAAGAGGTTCACATATATAAAATTTAAAAGTACATTAACTTTAATTGTTTAATTCATAGGGATAAAATGAGGTTGGAAAATAGACATGTAAAAATTAATTATGACTGTTTTGTTACATAAATCCATACAAGTGTCACAAGTGGTCTTCATGGAAAAATAAAATTCAGTAAACTTTGGGATATGGGCCCTTTAGGATGTAAGTAATAATTTACAATTAATATGTTATTAGGTGTAACTGCTGATCTTGTGCTGACTTGGCTCAGTTGCTGTTTTGATCATGAGCTTAATTGTGTCTCTGAAGTGTTTATGTGCGCTGGCAAGAGAAATTGGTAGTGTATGTTTGGGAGGCTAAATTAGTGCCCTGCTAATTTAGATGGTGAGCAGTGCTTATGTTTTGCACTTCAAATTCAGCTAGAGGAAGATGAATAGAAGAGAGAGAGGGGGAGATAGCAAATAGGAGATAGGAGCTTAAACAACTAAATATAAATATCTCAAATTTTACAGTGTTTAGTGTGTTCAACCTTGGCCTTTATCACAGCTTCAAAAGACTTGCTCTCAGTTTTTCGTCAGTTTTCATCTTCAAAGTCTTAGAAGTTGGTTACATTTTCTGCTTCTCACAATCCAAGTAATCTCAACCACAATCAGTGATGTTGAGGTCTGGACTCTGGGGTGGTCAGTCCATTGTTCTGAGAAGCTTCTTTGTTTGATTTGCGAATTTTCTTTTTTTTTGTCTATTCACTTTTTTCAATAACGTCTTGATAGCTTCACCTTTTAGACAAATCTGAAGCAACAGTGGAGTTTAATTTGTTCCTCTCTCTAAAAGATGAAAGCAGGTACTGTTTATCTAAAGGTGACAGTTTTGGTGGTCTACCATGTCTTGCACTGTTGTTAGGAGCCTTACGTTTTAGTCATCTTTCAGTTCTAGTTTTGGAAACTCCTGTCTGGTTTTCACCTTCCTCATGCAACTGGATTATCTCATATCTAATCTCCTCAGGAAAATTTGCTGAAAAATGAATAACTTGTACTCAGTGACTGTTTTGAGTGGAAATTAAATAAATAAAGTTCTCTGACTTTTGAGCAATACTGTATTTAGGGGTTGTTAGCATCAGAGACATTTTCTAACCACAATCAAGTTCTTTTCTTTGTGTAATTTATAGTGTTGGTGGATGACAAACATATCATCACTATTATTAGAACACATTGTGTCTCTGAAACAGTAAGTTCATAGAGAAAGGAAAAATAAAAACATTCTTAACAAAATGAATTTTGAACCTTTTTTATCGGTCCATTTGTCATGAAATATTCACCTAATGTGAAAGGTAACTGGCATTTTCAAATGTGATGTCATTTAGGATCTGACCTCTGCCCTGACTCGGAAGATAACCCTGAAGACCCCTCTCATTTCTTCACCAATGGACACTGTGACCGAGTCTTCCATGGCCATTGCTATGGCTGTGAGTACGATACACAAACAAAAAGTGAAGTAATACAAAAATGTAGTTCATTCTCATGACCTTCTGCTGATTTGTGCGTTAGCTCATGGGTGGGATTGGGATCATCCATCACAACTGCACTCCAGAATTCCAAGCAAATGAGGTTCGGAAAGTTAAGGTGAGTGGAACAATCTCAGTGCTACAAGATGAGTGTAATTAGATTGAATTATTAAGCCTATTATGAAGAAACTGAATCTAATTTTCTCTCACGCTTCACTGAGGCCTATAATCAGTAGAGTGTTTTGTATATTATGGCAGAAATTCGAGCAGGGTTTTATCACAGATCCAGTTGTGATGAGTCCCCGGCACACGGTGGGGGATGTATTTGAGGCTAAGGTCTGGCACGGCTTCTCCGGAATCCCCATTACAGAAACTGGCAAGATGGGCAGCAAGCTGGTGGGCATCGTTACATCACGAGACATCGACTTCCTCTCAGAGAAGGACTATGACAGACCGTTGGAAGAGGTTTGTGGTTTATCTTTGATTATTAACTTATGACAGATGAGTCGTCTTGCTTTAGAGTATGGAAGTACTCATCAATAGCAAGGCCACTCTATGTAAAGTTCTTTAAATTGCAATTGCTGTGAATTTGTGATCTTTTAAATCCAGGCGATGACAAAGAGGGAGGATTTAGTAGTTGCACCAGCAGGTGTTACGCTAAAAGAGGCCAACGACATCCTGCAGCGCAGCAAAAAAGGTATGCTTGTTTATTTCAAGTTCTTTATTGTCATACACACAGAACTTTACATAGTACTGTAGGAAATTCTTAATTACGTTCTAGCACTTTTGACACAGGTATAAATACAAAAATAGTGCATATTCATGCTCAAAATAGCATACATACTCTCTCTCATATGATAAGGGCTAAATGGTTATTGGCTCGAACCTTTAATTGGTATAGAAAGTTTACATTACAGTATGTGGAGGTTCTTCAAACTTTATAGCTTTTTCACACTTGCATATCTCATTTATAATATTGGTTCTATTTGTTCTTTAGGGAATCAAATGTTGTTCTTCATTGCCGTTGCTTCAAAGAACATTTTTGGCATTTATTTTTAAAAGGTACAAAATACACACAATATTGTAAAGAGATTTTTCACAAGTAATTTTGGAGCATTTATATCGGCCCAATCGTCATGAAACGTTCACACAATGCAAAGAACACCTGCTGTGTTCAAATGATGAACAATGATGATACTCCTTTTCACCTTTGCTTAGCTGAGCGCCATTCATTTTCAGATCTCCGCTGGTGCACTGACAATGAGTTTTGTTGATCACAGGTAAGCTGCCCATCGTGAATGACAGTGATGAGCTGGTTGCTATAATTGCCCGCACTGATCTGAAGAAGAACAGAGACTACCCTCTGGCCTCCAAAGACTCCCGTAAACAGCTGCTGTGCGGTGCCGCTATCGGTACCCGTGAGGACGACAAGTACCGACTGGATCTGCTCATGCAGGCAGGAGTGGACGTGGTGGTGCTGGTAGGTTTGGACTTTTAAAAGGACTGTGATTTAGGCAGCATCTTTACACTTTCATGAGACCTGAGTGCACTCTCAATGATAAATGTTCCCAAATAATTCTTGCATTGGACATACAGTTCTAGGAAAAATCTTTAATCAGTGTGAAAACTTGTAAAAGGTTCTTCACACTTGCATATTTACAAAAATGATTCTTGAAAAAACATCCAGGGGACAGTACAGAACTAGAAGCAATTCTTCTCTGGCATCCAGTATTCCCTGTGCCAACACGCCTGATCCAACTCATCAGCTAATTATCAAGTTCTTCGTGAGCTGGATTAGTTGTGATGCAGTAGGGAATATTTTAAGTAGTGCAAGGCAGTGGGTGCCCAGAACGGGAGTTAAGAGCTCTTGAGCTAGTATTTCTTATCTTGTTCTTTCCTGTGGGACTGTATATGAATAGGACTCGGGAATGATTGTAGTGAGTTATGCCTGTTGTCTCTGTATGTGTCTTACAGGACTCATCTCAGGGAAACTCAGTGTTTCAAATCAGCATGATCAACTATATTAAACAGAAATACCCTGAGCTACAGGTGGTGGGGGGCAATGGTGAGTTATTATTTTTTACCTTTCCATTTTTTGTAGATACAGAGAGGATTAAAGCCAATGTAAATTAAAATTACTTGGTTCTTTTCATGTATTTTTTTGTTTCTCTCTGCCTCTGTGTAGTTGTAACAGCGGCTCAGGCTAAGAATTTAATTGATGCTGGTGTGGATGCTCTTAGAGTGGGCATGGGCTGTGGATCCATCTGCATCACACAGGAAGGTGGGTATATACATGTATGGGTGTCACTATATAATTGAGTAATGTTGTGTATTGTTTGTATAATGTTATTTTTTATTTTGAAAATTATGTTATGATGCTCTTTGTAAAATAGATCTGTGACACTGTGTGTGTTTTTTCTGCAGTGATGGCATGTGGGAGACCCCAGGGCACCTCTGTCTATAAGGTGGCAGAGTACGCTCGCCGTTTTGGCGTGCCAGTCATCGCTGATGGTGGCATTCAGACAGTTGGGCATGTAGTGAAGGCTCTGGCTCTGGGAGCATCCACAGGTGTCTATTCTGATGATCTAGTGCATTTAAACTACAAGTTTGGGATGCATTTAAGGGATATGTACCTGGGCTGGATCAATATGAACATTTTGTTATCAGTACTGATTTTAAAGGCCTAAAATTTCTGATAACTCATATCAGCTGATATAACTTTATAGCCATGGTCAAAAATGAAAAGACCCATATATTTTTCTTGATTTATTGTTTTCCTATTGAAGGCCACATTTTTGTGGGTGTATGTGTTTTTTAATTTTTACCATGAAGTTTTCAAACCTCTCTTTATCCCTTAAAATTAAGTGTTTATGTTACAGCACATTTAAGACTGATGTGTAAATGACCTCTGTTTTGTTTGGCTGTCCCGTATTGTGCCTCATTCAAAAAGCAGCATAGCTGAAACTCCTTTATCTTGATTGTGAAATGGCGAGGCTAAGAATGGGCTGTATAGGTGCATTTACAGTGCAAAAATATTACTCACTTAAGCACATTAAAAACACCTATCTCAGCAGTAAGTGTGTTTTTGCTTGCAAGTAAACATAAATACAGTAAAAATAATAGTATTTCCTATTCTTATCTTCAAAAAAGTAGTTGATCTCTGGTTGTAGATTTCTCCTTGATGCCCCCAGCCACCACATATAGTTATTAAATTCCATCTGCATTACACCTGATTTGACAGTTGTTGTCAAATCTAGTATTGATTGAGCCAAACTAGGTATTGGACGATAACTACAAATAGTACTGGAGTGCTAGTGTGGAGAGGTTTGGAATGGTTAAACAAACCCATCAACAAAACCACTTCTTACTGAATTAATGTCTTTTGTATTTATTCTAATATAAATGTTTTTCTTAGTAAATAAATATTTACTGAGGAAATAAATAGCTTTTTAACTGTAATTTTCTGAGGTTCTCAGATCTTTTGCACTATATATAAATATATCACAAACAGACATCAACAAACAACAGTGCATTCAAAAAGGACTATTTTTGGAGCTTAGTTTCCATACATGGACTGGTCAGTGAACAGTACATTTTGAAACAATGTTAATGTTTTAGACAAAACTTTTTTTTCAAGGGAAATTTAGTTTTCCTTGATAAGGGCTCATTAAACAGACCCCAATAGTTTTAGTTAAGCAGTTCTATACTGACCGATAGCTGTTTATTATGTGAAATTGTATGACAATTTTAAGCACAAACAACTGCTGTCTTGAAGGAATGAATAGCTCAGTGTGATGGTCAGGCAAGACCCTGCATTCATAAAGTTAGTAACTAGCGCCTGACAGTTTAGCCGTATAACCAGCAAAATTCACCTCACTTTACAGCTGGTTGTTCTTTGCAGCATGTTGACTGTTGTTCAAGACAGTATTATATTTCTGAACTTTATTAGTTATTAGTACTTTAGGCTTTTGGCAAAGGTGGATAAACCTGTGGAACCTTGTTATCAGCCAAATGATGTATTGATCAGGCCCTAATACATATGCAGCTTAATCACCACAGGGCAGTCCGTTCAGTTAGTTAATGGCTTTCTGTCTGTTTATTTCTCTGCTGTCCTTGGTGTCTTTTTAACTGCTTTCCTCTTATCTATTTCCTTTTACCTATTATGTAACAGTGATGATGGGCTCCTTGCTAGCAGCCACGACAGAAGCACCTGGGGAGTATTTTTTCTCTGATGGAGTACGGTTGAAGAAGTACCGTGGTATGGGCTCTCTGGATGCCATGGAGAAGAACAGTGGTAGCCAGAAGCGCTACTTCAGGTATGTACATACTCACACAAACGCACACGTATGGATGTAAAAGATTATAAGTATAAGTGTAAGATTTTGTCTGTGTTCTCTACATGTCTGAATGTATGTGTTTGTGAATGTGTGTGTTACAGTGAAGGTGATAAGGTGAAGGTAGCTCAGGGAGTATCTGGCTCGGTTCAGGATAAAGGTTCAATCCATAAATTTGTCCCATACCTCATTGCTGGAATCCAACATGGCTGCCAGGATATTGGAGCAAAGAGCCTGTCAATCTTGCGGTAAGAGCATGACTCAGCTTAATCTCTTTGGAGGACTGTAGAGGTGATGCCACAAGGCTAATGACGGATATTAAGTCCTTAACTCCTTAAACTACAAGGGGCCTTCATTTGACTTCCTCACTGTTATCACTATACATATTAGTTTCACAGTAGTTGCCAAATAATTCATAGCAGATACTGAATAAGTCTTAACATCAATAAATCAATAGTTTATGGGGTTAAGAATGGCAGGAATGGAAAGTCCATGATTATATGTCTTTCTGTCCACCCGTGTGAATTTTTTTGTGTAATGCTTTATTTTAAAAATGTTCATTGACACACTTGCATGCAAGGCAGCCACACTCTGAACCAGACAGCAAAATCCATTTCACAAAGATTCTGCAAACTGTGTCTTAGTGAGGAGATGTGTGTGTTTGTGTGTGTGATGCTCTTTTTGTTGTATATGTAGTTCTATGATGTACTCTGGAGAGCTGAAGTTTGAGAAGAGGACTATGTCTGCTCAGGTGGAAGGGGGCGTCCATGGCCTGCACTCGTAAGTGTCCATCGTCTCTGTTCTCTCCATTTTACCATCCTGGCCCCTCAGTGACCGTGTCTCTGTGGCTCCTTCTTAATCCTGCCGTGCTCAGTGAACACTACATCAGCTCTTATGCAGCACTACAAAGAGTGCTCAGGACACACAGGTGCTGAGACTGAGGAATAGCCTTATCTGTTTGTTCTCATAGTTTTTGGACCCTTTTCTGTTTATTTCATGCACAGTTTTGTGAGTAGTAATTCAGAACTCCATAGGCTTCTCCTGAAATCCATATGGAAGTCAAGCTGCTTGAAGGCACTTTTTCAGGAGTTTCAGATTTAGGTAACTATGTATTCATCTGCTGTGCAAATGCCATCTACAATAAGACGTCAAGCTAAAAGTACCAAACTAGTATCCTCAAACTATTAACTTTTTAATGTCTTAATGACTGATTCCTTATATCAGGCATGGGGAATTCAGGTCCTGGAAAACAGGAATCCTGCACCGTTTCTGTCCAGGCAAAACACTAACCATGCTAAACTCTGGCGCAGTTTTAACGTAGGATAGCAGAAATACAGTAGATCCTGCCTTAGCTGGCACAATTGACTTAGATTTAGGGGGAATTTCCCAGTCATTGATTAAGCCTTGTATTAAACTGTAGAGTCAATGATGAATTACAATTGACAAATCTTTGTCAGTCAGGGCTTAATCTTGGTTTGCAAAATTAGCCCTGGATGTTCATTATCATGAAAAGGGTCCATTAACTTAAAACTTTGTACAATATATAAGATACAGTTCTGCACACTAAGCTGCATGCTGAATGCTCTACTAAAATTTTACATTATGCTATTTACTTACTTACTCTAACCAGGCGAAAAAATTATGGAGAGGGCAGCAAGATAGAAACAAACTTCATCAGTAGCACACCTGTTGAGATCATTCTTAAAGCCTAGAGTTCAGACACTCAGCAATCCCCTCTTAGTTTTTGCTGTCCTCCCAAAAGACTACATCCCCATACCTTCTGATGGAATTGTAGAGTTTACATGTGAAATTGTCTTCTTCTCCTTTCTTTTATGCACTCATCGTAGATATTCTTTTGTGCCATGTAAGTACTCAGTCCTCATGTCTGTGCCTCTGTTGTAACCAGTGGTGGAGGGGATTGTATTATATATTTAGTGAGATTTAGGACCTTTAGTGAAGTTCACTTTTTCTTCCTTAAGGCCCATCTCTCCCTATAATGTCTTGTGTAGATGATCCCGATGTCCTTCTGCAGCTCTGAAGCCCTGTGTCTGTACCCAACCTGTACTCTGTTAAAGGGATAATTTGGCTAAAAATGCTATTTTTGAAAACATTAAGCAGAGTTTCTGCCTTGCTAACATTCATTTATTGCAACAAGCATTTTTGACCAACCTATACTTTTAACTTTAATCAGTAGTCACTGGAGGAGTGTCAGAACATATCAGATCATTTCTACGTCCAAGTGCTGCTATATGTACAGCAGTACAATGACATTTACTTTAATCTTTTAAAGCTGATATTTATTATTGTCATTTTTCTATACTGTTCAAATGGAATTACGTAGTAAATTTACATAGTAGGTTATTATATGTGTGTGTGATTTACATTCTTTAGTTTAAAGCAGGGGTGCCCAAATGTTTTGCCTTGGGGGTCCAAAGTGCTATGTTTGTGGTGGGCTGAGGACCAAAAAGACAAAGCATTATACAGATAAAGAAGATGGGCAGGTTATAAATTGGGTTTTTAAGAATGTTTTTTATATTACACTACTTTTTGTTACTAAAATCCTTTAAAAATACAAATTTTGAAAGAAAATAAGAAATAGAAAAGTACAAAATATGCTCTCTCATTGGGTGAGGTGAGCTGTGTTAGGGTAACTTTCTTGAAGGTCAAATTAAACGTCCACATTGGCCAATTGGCCACATTTTGGGCAGCCCTGGCTTAGAGTCTGCACTTTTCTGCTTTTTTCAATGTCAAGAAATGACAGAAACATAGCAAAACAAAATGATATGCAGTAACAGTAACTTTTCAAATTAAAATCATAATAAAATATCTCCACTTTCTGTTATGCACCCAAATGTGCTTCTGAAAATGTCTGTTTTAGTGAGCTGTGCTTTTGTTAAAGCCTATGAAAACTGCAACCTCTAAGAGCTGAAATGTTTAAAATTGGCAAATAATAATAATTAACAAATAATAAATGCATGCTTTCTCTTCTTTCTAACTTTCATCATACTTTCTCTCCTTTTTCATTATTTTCTCTTTGGATGTTAATAATGTTTTTTGTCTTTTTGATGTAGTTATGAGAAGCGGTTATACTGAGGGTGGCAGCAGAGGCCAGATGAGAGCATTCCCCAATGTTCCTACCCCAACTGTGACCAAACACAACGGATTCATGTGATCCTTACACATCCTTCACTTCTCCCATCCTCCCTCCTTCCCCCCGGTCATCCTTCTCTGAAGAAAAGGTGGTCTGTTGTTCCTTACCTGCTGTGATCTGGAGTTTGGTCCAGCAGCAGCAGTGCAGGTACCTGCACGCTGACCTCATAACACAGACCTGAACATTACTGTGCACTTTCTGCTCTTTCTATTGCGTGAAACTGTATCAGTGGGGTCTCTTGGCTTGTGCTGTGTATGACAGTCCTGTCATGTCCTCAGTGTATGATAGACCTCACAGGTTAGTATAAACAATCTAATGCTTTCAAATATCAAGCACTGTGGCACCACATACTGTAACTTCCTCACCATGGCACTCTGCAAGAAACACAGACTCCTTTTCTTTGACTATAATTTATATTGTGGCCACTGTAACCAAAAGTCTTATCTGTGGGCCTACTAGCAATAAGCTCTGATACTGTGACGTGACTGGTTTTTAAGGCACTAAGGGGGACTGTATGTAAGGCTGCGAATGGCAAGCTAAAAGTAATAAGGTTTATGTGAATGTAAACCACTGAAAAAGAGCATGTGGGCTAGTTCACAAGCTGCTTATTTCAGAATGCTTCTAAGGTTCTCCCTTTAGCCAGCTAAGAATATGGAACCAGAAGCTAAGAATTAGCCTTAAAATCAGGGATCCCCTCAACCTGCTCGCCTTATGAATGAAAGCAAAGTGTAGAACTAAGATGTCACATGAGAGAACTCTCAGATTGGAATTTATTGTAGTTTTTCATTCAGACATTGTGAGACCCTGAGTCTTGACAATTAGAAATATTGGCATATAATAAAGTACATTGACATATGATTTGTCAAGAACAAAAATATACTAATAAGTGGCTGCAGTGACGGTAATGTAATGAAAACAGTTTTCTTATTAGGCATTAAACATTCCTGTGTGGGTGACTTGGACCCGAGTAGAGCGTCACTGTACAGTTTGCTTTTCCTGGATGCGTAACATGGTGTAGTTATTTGGTTAATGGTGTAAGAAAAATGTTAGTTTTATACATTTGCTTATTGTAATATCAAGAGTGATACTTTGCTGTGTAAGAAATTGAATTGCTATACAATGATTATATAATGATTATTATTCATTCTTTCAATCAAAGCAACGATGTAATGTACGGATGTGTACTTTGATGGTGTTGATATGTCTGACTGTCCTTTTGTCTAAGTCACTGTTTAAATGAAATGTATATGACAAGTCAGACGATTCCCTAAATTTGTACAGAACCTGTTTGGAAGAGAATCTGCTAAAATAAGTCTATTTTATTATAATACTTTATTTTGTTGAATGTTCCTGTATTATTTTTGACAACATTCTTCTGCTGAGGTGAAGAAATGAAGATATCATGTATAGTTTCTTTAAGTGAAAAAGTAGCCACTAGGCCACTGTTTTATAAGAAGGCCTAAAATGAGCTCTCAAATAATCAAATCCCTGTTCTGTAGCTATGTAAAGCACAGATAGAGCTAAGGAAGCTTGCCGTATATAATCCGTGGTCAGAGATAATGAAGACTTCTCTGTATGTCAGGCTTTTGCTGCTTATTTATTACTCTTGCTGCACAGGAGTATCTCCCAAAGCTGTGCACTCAGCCACGCAGTGCAAAAGAGGCGCATTAATAAAGATGGTTATATAATGAACAACAGTCTTTCCTCATTCTTGTTTACATATTAACACCAACAGGGGGCGGTATGATGGTAATAATGCTGGGAATGGATTACGAAATCAAAAGTACCAAAAGTTGAGGTTGTTTAGTTTAGTTTATTCCTTTCCTTAATTTGTACATCCAACCACTCCTTCACTTCCTTACTGTTTTATTTTATGTATTTATTATGAATTAACATATTTATTTGAGAGATGCATTCTGTGTAAACATGACAGCCCAACTTGCTGCTTATATTATAGATTCTGTACATTTGGTACCAATAAAAGCACAGACATATATGAGAAAATCTTAATTTAAGTTCTATCTCTATCAGTACCTTATGAAATAGTAAAAAAGCTTGGAAATAATGAAGGCTGTAAAGTGTAAAGCAGAGGAGAAAATGTATCTTCTTATGTTTTGCCTTAGGCTGATGCATAGGAAGGAAACAGCAAAATGATTTCCCTGCCACAAACATGCAGTGACTGGTATTGCTATATTAGTATTGCAAACTTAGTCTTCTTAACCTAGTTTTCATTTTCTTTATGGCATCTTCATGCTGTTTTCACATGAGGGCCTCATTTCTTCCAGTAAATGTTTCAAGTAAAACTACACATCATCTCAGCACACTCTACTCTGAGAGATACAGTACTGTGCCAAAGTCAGAAACCACCCTTCATTTATTTAATTTACAGACAAAAAGGTTGTTAAGTACAAGTCCATTTTTTCACTGTGAGAATACAACTCAACTCCATGGGTCTGAAAGGATGTGTAGCTGTCAAGAAGCTGTTACCGAGAAACAGCAAAAATAAATAAAAAATTGCAAATCAAAGAAGCTGTTTTATGTTCTCAATGGACTGGCCACCCCAGAGTCCAGACCTCAACATCACTGAATGTGTTTGGATTACTAGGTTTGCGAGAAGCAGAAAATTAAACCAACTTCTAAGACTGAACTTTGGAAGTGTGGAGAAATATCCCTGCAGATATCTTTGAAAAACTGTAAGTAAGTCTCCTGAAAAGAGTGGAAGGGTAGACACACTAAATACCGAAAATGCTGGTATTATTTTTAGTTGTGGAGGCTTCTGTGTAATGTTCTATTGTAAATATATGCTCTCTGCCTTTTTCCTGATGCTGACAAATTAATACCTTGTACATGAACAGCTATTTTGACTGTAAATTAAATACATGAAGAGTGGTCTCCGACTCTGTCCACTACTGTACCTCCGTCTGTTCAAAAATGTTCTTAAGTGTTAAATGTGGTCTTATTGCTGATGGAGAAAACATTTGTAAGTTTGTATCTTGCATCAGTAGTCACACAGTGCCACTGTACATAAGGAGGCCTTTTTATCTGCACCCAAATTATAGAATTATGTTTGCATTTTTAATTGTAATTCTGACCACATTTGCTTCTCCGAAGTTGACTAAAATTATCCAATCTGTAATGTTCTAAGTGCCATGGTTTTCATGTTTCTCAAAGTTTTATGTGCAACTTGACCTGAAAGTGCATTCTTGAAGCCAAAGCCGTCTTTTCACTTTCTTAATAATCTTCTTTCAAACTGCTGCAGCTCCCCAGCAGAATCCCTTTTTAACAATGAGTTCTCGTGCACTTGAGCTGGAGAGCAACTCAAGTACATACAAAACCTTATATATTGGAGCAACTCTCGTCAGTCATGATGCCTGTTCCATTTTTCTACAGTTCGATTGTGTCACTGCTGACACTGAGTGCATCTATCTGTCTGCAGACGCTGATGAATTCAGCTTGCACAGCCAGTTCGTCAGCCTGTGTGTAAGCATGCTCTTTCTCATATATACTCTCTCTGGAGATGGTGGAGTCCAGGACCTTGTACTGCTTCTGCGAGGGGCGTCCCGACTGCACCCTCGGCAGGCTCCCCCTGGGCAGGCTGCTCTGAGACGACTGGCATCTGGAGGTAGTGTAGTCACTGTAATTAGTTGCTTGACCTCCATGACCTCTAGGGCCTCCACTAAGGGAGCTGGTTTTTGTGTCCCTACGAGGGGAATCCACATCCCCGCATGAGGCGGTGCGGTACAGGACAGGCTCAGCGGAGCTTCCCCGGCAGGGCTGTCCATCTGGAGGCCCGCGTGTACTGAGAGAAAGCCTGGAGGAGCTGAAGAGACTCCGCCGGAACAGGGCCTCACTGTTCAAAGCCTCATCAATGCTGCGTCGCAGGTCGATTGGAGACGGAGGTCGAAGGTCCACTGTGGAATCGCCATTAAGGCTAGCAAAAGATGACCCCTGAGAGACCACTTGGGCATCCTTTGTGGCCCCGGAGAGCTGACGGGCTGCCTGATTCTGAGGGCTGCTTGGATAATGGAGGTCCAAGCCATCTGATTCGCTGAGTGGCATCTCTGCTAGGGTGTAGAGGGGCACACTCTCACTCTCATCTCGCACCATACCATCCCGTAGACTCAGTTTCTCTCCAGGCCTCTTGGACCAGCCGCTTGACAGGATGGTGGTTTTGGTGGCTGCAGTAGCGCCCCCTGTGGATGACCTGATGACAGAGGTGAGCAGGGAAGCTTAAATCCACCGTCATGTACAACTATTGTTACTTAGTGAAATACTGACTCAAGAGAAAGTAATAATAACAGAGTAGCAGGTCAAATAACTCTTTAGTACAGAACCGCAGTGGAACTTATTAGAATATGAAGCATTTATCAACATAAGAACTGAAGTTTGTTACATGCTGTTCTGCCATATTTATGGTCCTTTTGGTCTAAAACAAAATGCTAACACTCAAGCAACAGCAAAGCAGTCTGGGTGCTGTCACCAACAGAACAGTAAGAAACTGAAAACAACAGAAAACAGAGTTTAAAAAGGGCCAGTTTCCCAGATCCAGATGAGGTCTTGGATTAGGCCTGTACCATTTTACAAAACTGAATCTCTGTCAACACCCAACTTACCAATACAACCGATACTATGATACCTTACATACCTTAATGCAGTGGTCATCAACCCTGCTCCTGGAGATCTACCTTCCTGCAGACTTTAGTTCCAACCCCAACTGATCCATCTAATTATTGTCTTTAGAAGTCCTTGATTAGCTGAATGAGGTGTGTTAGGTTTGGGTTGAAGGTGAAACCTGTAGGAAGGTAGATCTGCAAGAGGAGGGTTAATGACCCCTGCCTTAATGGATCAATTGTTGATCTACATTTGATAGTTTCTTAGTCAGAATTATAATAAAGCTAATGCAACTGAGTAAATGAAACTACTTATTACTCACCTCTGCCTGTTAAACACCGAGCTCCAGCGGCCAAGCTTAGGGACAGCTCCTCCACAGCACAGGAGAGGGTGTGTGACCACAAGCGCCAGGGTGAGACACACCCCCGCCTCACACACTCTGCAGCTGAGCTGAAAGCCCCACCAGGACCAGGGCATCAGTCCCACTGTTTCCTCATCTGTCAGCCCAGTTGCATGCAGGATTGCATAGAGCCTGAGCCCTCCACATGCTAGGAGGAAAAGTGCTGAGAAAAGGCCAGTCCCTGCGGCCCTCTCCCACACACCAGCCTCCGCCAGGGGGCAGTGGCTAGCTGGGTGGTCTGGTGACATCTCATTCAACCTGTAAATGTGCTTGGCATCAGTGCGGGCGCAACAGTAGAACAGCAGGTATGAGAAGGAGAACAGAGAAGCCAGCAGAAAGAATGCAGCAGGGGGCAGCAGAGAGACAACCGGAAGGGCAGGAAAAAGCCTCAGAATGGCCACAGATCCCATCACCACAGCAACATGCACCAGCACAAGTGCAGCCAGTAGGCAGCCACAGCGACGCAGGGTGGTCTGTGAGAGCAACTGGGCGCGAGAGCGGCCAGACAACAGCAGCAGCAGTAGGCCAAAGGCGGCGGTCAGGCATGGATAAGTGGCCTCATGCAGAAGGCGTGACCAGGTCACAGGGAGCCGCTCCCGCTGACCGTATGGGTCATAGAGCAGCCACAGGGCACGGCTAGAGCCAGCCAGCAGCTGCAGGAGGTGCAGGAGGCTGAAGTGGGCGCAGCCAGAAGGCCAGCATAAGGGCAGACATAAGAGGCTGAGGGCAGAGAGTGCAGCCACCAGTGAGAACACACACCCCAGCCCATACACGTGCAGCTCCCACGCTAGCCCCCACGTCGCCATGGCAGCATTCCAGTCGGACAGCAAAGGCACCAGCATGGGTGGGGTTAGGGCAACAGGGGGTGGGGCCAGATCACCATTAGGTGGGGGCATTGGAGAAGCAGGAGACAGGACACTGGGGAGGTTGTTGTCAGAGAAACCAGGACTCAAGAGAGGGTCTGAGGAGTTGCAGACCCCCATGGTGTCCAGGTTGCAGTCAGGCTGGGAGGATGATTCGGCAAAGTCGTTGTTGTCAAGCGCAGAGAAACCTGAAATGTCCACAAACAATGTATTTCAGATGAAAACACTACATATGGTTGCTATTGGCCAGTTAAAGTCTTCAGTAGCTATACTGGCCATCTAGTGTGGGTACACCTTGGCTTATTTTGAATTTTCTTGGATTTCACTGCTAATTAAGCAATTAACAGTGCTTACCAAGGTTTTGTTAACATAAAACTAAAATGTAATAATATTTTTGGTATGATTTACACCAATTTCTTTTGCTCCAAATATTTAATGAGTGCTGACATCACAACAAAGAGGATAAAATGCATGGAATGTGTCGTTCATCATTCTCAAGGTAGCCCTGTCACAAATATTGTCACACATGTTTACATACAGTATGGTGTAAAAGTCTAAAGCAACTAAGCAAATTGTTCAGAACCATTTAATACAATACTTTCATTTTTGCTTGTAAAAACACCATGTAACATTAGAATAAATGCAAACATTCATAAAAAAAGTTCTTATTTAAAAAAAATATATATTTTCAGAAAAGTAGTGGATATGTTTTTAGCTAGTTGGAAGAACACAGGTTTGATTCCTGATTTCTCCCCAAAGCTCTCCAGCCATCACATGGATTTATTAAATTTATGAAATGTGTTAAATTAGCCAAAACAGGTATTGGATAACTGTAAATAATGCCTGTCTTCCTTGACGAGAGGTTTGAAAATGGTTAAATTAATCAATTGGAATAAATAAAACTACTTTTTTATATTAATGTTATTCACATTGTTTCTCATATTAATGTTTTTTTTCTCAGCAAATAAACTTATTGTCCAGAAAATAGCAAAAAGTATGAACTTTCTGGGTCAAATTAAATGTTTATTTTCTAAGTGAAAATTAGATAACGCATCTTCTACAGAGAACACACTGAAATATAACAGTTTTCTTCAAATTTGCACAATTTCCATTCTTTTGCTAAGTTAAACATTGGAGAAAAAAAAATAAAATGGAAAATGCACAGGCCAAATTTTATGCTTTATTTTCCTATATATGTTAAATTCAGCAAATAAACAGTAATTGCACAATAAAATGTGCAGGAGTGTGTTCTCAATAGAAGATGTGCTAATTTTTCACTCAGAAAATCACCAAACATGTCATATGACCAGGCAGGGACACCCACACCTTTGCATATGACTGTATAAGCAATAACGAAAAAAATGCTCAATCAAAAATAATTTGCAATGTGTCCTCATATGTTTGAGGGAAAGGTCATGAATTATGACTCTACAATGAATCGTAGTGAATTGTAACTTTGGTAGACACATTGAAACTTAATTGTCATTTAATAAAACTGCTACACTGTTCTTCTGCATAAGCATAGGAATATCCTGCATTGGTGTGAAATATAAGGTACTGCAAAATGCAGAGCTAACATGAGCCAGTAGAGGGAGCCTTCCAAAAGAGGAAAAAAGTGATTCATGCTTAAACTGGGTCCTTTAAGCAGCAAGACACACAAACACTCCAATGTCCCTAAATAGATAAAAATATGCAAGTTTCATAGCCTTTAGCTACACAAGTTCACACAAAATAGCATCTTAAGACAAGCATCTGCAAATAGGCCCCTGAGCTGAGAGTGACCTAAAACACAGGCTGTGTTAATTAGCTGGTCCATTTTATGGGGAGAGATGTGGAAGTAGGACTGCATTAAATGGGTCACACACAGACACAACACACACTCTCTCAGAGCAGATTACTGGGCATTGACCTTGTTGCTGCTCTCATTCGTGTAACTATTTAAAAACTTGAAACTGGCACACGTTTAGCAGTGGAATCACTTCAATATCTGCGCGTGACGGCAATTAAGGCGATGGATTACAATGTTATTGCTCTCTGCATAGTGTTACAGGAATATGCCAGTGTTATTCAACCTGATCTGATCAGCTACATTTGTAGTGCAGTACATGGAAACTGAAATATCTGTCGGTGGCAACTGATGGTACAATACAGATGCAGCAGATGGGGATCATGTTTACTGCAGGAGAATTCCCCCTTTACCTACACTATAGAGCAAAAACCATCCTGAATAGTCTTCTATGCTTTGTAAATTGTGGTTTGACATAACAAAGGCATTCTAAGAAGGGTAAATGATCAATCTTAATTATTGGTTATTGATCTGTGAGTGTCTTTGAATCAATCGCATTCTTGAAAGTCAAACATTATTCTTTAAGCTGAGAAATGATGGAGTGCTGGGCTCCTTCTTCCATCATCTCTGTATATGGTGTACTACATATGTAGGAATTAGTGACCCAGACCATCTTGTTCACTTTGTGATCCCGCATATAGCCCCCTTCAAAGTTGAACGATGAAGTCATGTGCATTGAAATTTTCAGTGCAGCATGAGTTGTGATGTCAATGCTATTTCCATCATGGCAGAGGATAAAACCAAACATTAAGCAATAGAAAACAATCAGATAAAGTGTGCAAATATAATAAATGGAATTGTTAAAGTAAATTTTAAAATTGTACACTTAACCCACAATTTATTTCTGCTTTGTTGGAGTTCAAAACACCAGTAAAATAGGCCAGAACTGATACATGCAAGCTAGCTAATAAACTACAATTCACAGCCTTAGTGTTCTCTCACATAATCCACATGAACATGCACACTGGATAAATGAGCTCCTCCTCATTGAAAATTACTGCCTCACTTACGCTTCAATAAAACTATTTTCACTATTTTCACTTCACTCCTCATGTAGTTGCTCAACCTAGATCAGCCAAGTTGTGCAGTGAAGCTGTGAGGCTAATGTAGCTAAGTACTGACAAAATTCAGATTTCAAGATGGTCGTTCAACATACTTTTGGCCATCATTACAGACAACAGTAGCCTATGTCATTGAGTTCATATGCGTCCTGATTCAGCTCTTCAGCTAATTGGCCAGGCCTTAGTGAATTTAATACAGAGTTCTATAGGAAAAACGTCAATCTCCATAGAGCTGTGGCCTGGAAGGCACCCAGTTTGATATGCATCATACATCACAGAGTATCAGATAACAAATAAACAAGTCTTAGCAACATAACATAGTTTGAGGCAAGTGTGTAAAGATTTAGGTATGCAGTTTGCCTGATGTTAATTAGTGGGTGTAAGCTGTTATCTACATTAGTTTTATAGCTTCAGTGCAAAACTAAAGAAGCAAACTTCTGACGCTAGGAATGTCTTAGCGGATCGACTACATTTCAGGTAAGGGAGAAATTACATTTTTCAACAAAAATTCCTCTTAAAAATCATTTAATCTCTATCTGAGAAACTGGCTGGAAGAATCTAGAACAAAGTTAATCACAGATTTATGGCAAAGACATAGCATTAAATAATCATGTCAAATTAAAATAGAATAGTGACCTGATCTACTAAAAAGAATAGGCTTTGCTTTCAGTCATCACTTAATCATAATCCTATGCTAAGGTTTTACTGAAATGAAAATGAAGAGGAGATAGCAAGAGTATGACAGTGAAGCAGTGGGGCATTTTTCCCACTCGCTCTGCGGTGATGGACAATGGTCCTGTGCCTCTGGAATACTGATTGTACACTGCGGTGTGTGGGACACCAACACACACTACGCAGCTACCTGAGCACTGTGAGAAGACTGAAGATGTCAAGTTGGTGGAGACACATCAGGGAAAGCAAAAGCTGCTTTATGAATAGTTGATTTGTTAGAGTAAGATTGTACAGTGGGATAGCATATTTTAGCATGTTTCAGCTTTATGATCAGATTCAGCACTAAACCAAAATAACTGAATATTGAAATGCCTGGCATATTTAAAAGGCCCATGTCACGGGACCTTGATGCAATGACACTTGCATGAATGTAGCATTGGATGCCCAACAAGTGTTTTCCTGTGCACACCTCAGTGTCACTGCTGGACTGAGAATAATCCACTAACCAAAAATATCCAGCCAACAGCGTCCTGTGGGCAGCATCCTGTGACCACTGATGAAAGACTAGGGGATGACTAACACAGACTGTGCCACAACAGATGAGCTATCGTCTCTTACTTTACATCTACAAGGTGGAGTGTCAAATAGAGTGGACAGTAAATTGACACAGTGTTTAAAAACTCCAGCAGTGCTGCTGTGATCCACTCATACTAGCACAACACACTTCAACATGCCTCCACCACATCAGTGTCACTGCAGTGCTGAGAATGATCCACCACCCAAATAATACCTGCTCTATGGTGGTCCTGTGGGGGGGGGCTGACCATTGAAGAACAGGGTAAAAGGGGGCAAACAAAGTATGCAGATGGACTACAGTCTGTAATTGTAGAACTACAAAGTGAACCCTACAATGCACCTTTTCACTTTTTTCACATTCTGTTGTGTTGCAGCCTTGTGTTAAAATAAAAAAATCAAGTTTTCCCCATCATTCTGCAATCAATACCCCATAATGACAAAGTGAAAACAGAATTTTAGAGTTTTTTGCAAATTTATTAAAAAGGAAAAACTTAAATTTCGCATGGACATAAGTATTCAGACCCTTTGCTATGACACTTGAAATTTTGCTCTGGGGGCCTCCCATTTCTCGTGATCATCTTTGAGATGTTTCTACACCTTGATTAGAGTCTACATGTGGTAAATTCAGTTGATTAGACATGGACACTCACAGCTGACAATGCATATCAAAGCAAAAACCAAGCCATGAGGAGGAAAGAACTGCCTGTAGAGCTCAGAGACAGGATTGTGTGGAGGCAGAGATCTGAAGAAGGCTACAAAAAAATTCTGCTGCACTGAAAGTTCCCAAGAGCACAGTGGCCTCCATAATTCTTAAATGGAAGACCAAGTTTGGAACAACCAGGAATCTTCCTAGAGCTTGCGGTCCCCCCAAACTAAGTAATCAGGGGAGAAGGGCCTTGGTAAGAGAGGTGACCAAGAACTCAATGGTCACTCTGGCTGAGCTCTAAAGATCCTGTGTGCAGATGGGAGATACTTTCAGAAGGTCAAGCATCACTGCAGCACTCCACCAATCTTGGCTTTATGGCAGAGTGGCCAGACAGTAAAAGACAGATGAAAGACGCATGAAAGCCCACCTGGAGTTTGACTGTGAGAAACAAGATTCTCTGATCTGATGAAACCAAGATTTAACATTTTGGCTTCAATTCTAAGCATCATGTCTGGAGGAAACCAGGCACTGCTCATCACCTGCCCAAAACCATCCCTACAGTGAAGAATGGTGGTGGCAGCATCATGTTGTGAGTTGTTTTTCAGCAGCTGGGACAGGGAGACTGTTCCAGACCTGATCCAGAGCTCTCGGGATCTCAGACTGGGCGAAGATTCACCTTTTAACAAGACAATGACCCTAAGTACATAGCCAAGACAACACAGGAGTGGCTTAGGGACAACTTTGTGAATGTCCTTGAATGGCCCAGTCAGAGCCCGGACTTGAACCTAATCAAACATCTCTGGAGAGACCAGAAAATGGCTGTCCACCGACAGTCCCCATGTAACCTAACAGAGCTTAGGAGGATCTGTAGAAGAATGGCAGAAAATCCCCAAATCCAAGTGTACAAACCTTGTGGCATCATACCCAAGAAGAAGAAGATTATTGCTGTCAAAGGTGCTTCAGGTACTGATTAAGGGGTCTGAATACTTATGTGAATGCAATATTTTAGTTTTTCCTTTTAAATAAATTTGCAAAAAATTCTAAAACTCTGTTTTCACTTTGTCATTATGGGGTATTGAGTGCAGAATGATGGGGGAAAAAGACTGAATGTTTTTTTTTTTATTTTAGCACAAGGCGGCAAAATAACTGTGAAAACAGCGAAAGGGTCTGAAGACTTTTCAAATGCATTGCATACGCTAAGTGGCACTGATAAAATGGACAATGAGTGTAGAAACAAGGAGGTAGCTTTAATGTTATGGCTGATTTGTGTGTATTCACCTGTTCATATTGAAATTCTAAGAAGTGTTCAGCCAGGACTGCTTTTTGTACAAGGCATAATACAGGGCAACCAATCAAAACAGAAGTCATTTACATATGTTAGTCTTTAGAACACAGAAACAAAAACAGCCTATTTAATACAGGGATAATACAGGGGTAATATATAGGGATGAAGAAACGCTGGAAAATAGTCATGTAAAAATTAATTATGACTATTTTTGGTATATAAAAGACACAAATAGAGAGAAGATTAAATACAAGAAAAATGTAGGATATAGGTCCTTTCCTTTAAGAAATATGCATAGAATGCTCAGTATCAGTCATAAAATGATTGTTATTTACCTTTTGGGGTATTGGTCACAATCACTGTTTCAAGAGGGGTCTTCTTGGAGACTTCATCTTCCACTCCTCCATTGTCCTGCATAGTGGTTGGTAGGTCTTTTCGTCCTTTTCCTTGACCTGCGCTATTGGAAAATTCTTTTACATCCACTCTCAGAGAAGTGGTTTTGGACTTCTGTAGTGTCCAGTCAGCACTAAGTCTAGTTTCTACTCTTCCATGATCAGAAGATGTCTGGGGCATATGGAAATGGGTAAACTCTGGAGTTCCCGTATATTCTGGAGGCCCAATATCTGTGGTCTGGACCTTTGTAGGTGAGTGAGGAGAAGGCCTCAGAGCTACTAATAATGTGGTTCCTGAAGAACGAGCAAAATTGCCATAATGCGAATCAGCCAAATCAGAATGGCCTGTCACAGGAATCCATTCATTGCCCTGAGTGACCGACCAAGTCATTGATGGAGTATCAGTTGTTGCGTCAGTTTTAGAGTTTGTATTCTCTGTCCATGCTGTACTTGAAAGTCGATTTGCTAAAGTGATGTTCCTTCTCCTGTTAAGGTTCGATGCTCTGACTTCCCCCAGATCCTTTGGGGCATTACTGTTCTTTTCAGAGTTTATTGTGAGATCTGAGAAGAGTGAATTGGTCATCGGTGGAGTAGTGGCATCCATCTTGGCTCTAGACGTCTGGGTGGTCCACTGTGAATGGCCTGTGAGCTCTGTAACTGGGTTTGTATGAGCCCAGCTTGGTTTGTCTCCATCTCTGTTCAGGGACACAGTGTGTAGGCTGCCAAACAATGTGACACTGAGAACCAGCACAAATGGTCCACTGTGAGGGACCATGCTTGCAACCCTCTTCAGTCAATCACGGCTCACGCAGTCGCTTATCTGCCTCCATCTCAGTGCTCCATGCTCCTCTGTCACTGAACCTATGAAACAGATAAGGAGGACATGTTTCAGTTCTCTAGCTAAATTATGCTTTAGTCAGTAGCCTACATGCGCATCCATGCAGTGTCCTCTCAGACTGTTATCTTGCAACTGCCCCAGTTTGCAGCTGCACTGTGCTGTGCTAAAGCTTCTATGGTCCAGTGCTGTGAATGACTGGATTAAAGCTGAAGCTCCGACCTCATAGCCCATCAGCCCTCATCAATCTTCCCCTACTAGTATTGATCAGTCATGTGACCTGGACTCCACATGCCATACCAGTCAAAATCACTGAGCATTATAACCAGGCACACAAACATACAGGTTTGTTTTCATACAGTGCCAGGACATAGGGTCATACATATGCCCCATATGTTTTATATATGGAACTACCGCTACATAGTAAGAATTTATTACCCCAAACCTAAACCTAAATGTAATCTTAAAAGGGAATTCCGCTGATTTTTTTCATTTTAGCACAACCAATTTGTTAAGATTTCAACACATTCAGAGTGCTTTGAAATGAAATGCTCCATTCTAGATAAACTTCCCAAGTCAGAATTGTTCAAAGCAGTTGTGATAGGAACCAGACATCCATAGAGTTTTATGCCTTTAAATCTACTTCACAGAAAGATATTATATAAAACTGTTGCCAATATGCTGCCTGATGCCTGTTTTATAATAGCTATGAGAGTGTTCAAAACGCATTCATGGCTGAGAGGTACATGCACAGCATTGTGGGGCAAATTAGTCCCCAAAGTAAGCTTCTGTTTCAGATTTATGAATATATCACCATTATCAGCATTACATATAAAAACTCAGAAGACACATGTAGATTCACTGGTTATTTTGGATAGTAAATGAAATGGCTTTATTTGCCTTGTAGACAGTGACCCCTGGTTCCTATTGCCACTATTGTAAAGAAATTGAAGTCGATAAGTTTCTTTAAAAGACACCATCTTACATCAAACCACTCTGAATGACTTTGTCTGCATCTCAATTAAATTACACAGATATTCTAAAAAAATAATTTTATTATTTTAAAAAAGAAATATTTTTCAGTTCACAAAAAAAAAAAACGCATGTAATTTTGTAAATGGCACTTTATAAAATCAAGACTATTTTATTTAGGTTTCCTGTTTTTTTTCTCTAATTTCCTACAATGTACAAAAACCAGCTCACATACACACTAGCACAAAGCTGCCTGCTCGTTATAAATTTAACATCTGGATGTTAAAGATTAAAGATATAGCCATAGTAGTGCTCGCATCCATTAGATTCCAGTACAGCGGAAGGCTCTGTATTAAACCATCTGCAGCAGAAACCTCAACTGCATCTCTCTCCCCTTCAACTCCTCTTTGCCCTTTCTGTGTGCTCCTCTTCTTTTCTGGCTCCTCTTTCCAAAATCCCCCCTTCATTTTCTGCTTGCTGTATGTTTCTGTGGTCCACATGAGCAAGCAGTGCAGTTTTATTCCTCAGCCTCTGCATTCACTGCACACACATTACTACACAACAGTACTTAATGAGACTCAGACATGCACATGCACATAAGACCTGGTTAAACTAAAGGAAAGGGGCTCACCCCAGGAAGCATGGAGGTAGAGACAGAAATAGGAGTAATCCTTTGCCGCCGCTCTGCTCCTGAAAAGCTGTATCTCTGCCTGGTCCTGCGCATGTGTCTGTGTGTATGTGTGTGAGTTTCAGTGCTCTGGCTCTTGCTCCGTCACACACAAACACACACCTCTGCCTCAGTCTCCCTCTCAGAAACACACTCTGGCTGACACACCCCCTCTTTTGGCCCTTCCCCCAACGCTCGTCAATGCATGTATGTGATTTCCCCCTACACCAGCTTTATTCATCTGAGCTCCTCTCTCTGTGTCTCTGTCTGCCAACACAGGATTAGCTCTCTTAGGTGTTTGACCTCCTCACTGTTACCTCACTGGGCAAACTGCAAAATAGGACCAACGTTGAGATCTCCTTTCCCTGTGTGGGTGCAAATGAAGTGTTTCTGTATATTCAGTTTAAAAGGTCCTACATTCTTCTTGCTTTATGACACTTGTGTAATTACATAAACCATTTTTACATGACCATTTTCCAATCTCTCTTTAAACCTTAAAATTAATTAGGCTGCTTTTTCCTGTGTCTTTAAGACTGATATATGTAAATGAGCTTTGTTCTGATTGGCTGTCCTGTATTGTGCTTCATTCAGAAAGCAGTCTGGGCTGAATCCCTCTTTATAACTTCACAGTGAATGGGCAGGGCTAAACTGCTGTAGGTGGAACAGGTGAATATATGTTAATGTGTTTTTCATTACATTACAAATAGAATGAATTCAAAACAGTGTTTTTTGGAGCTTAGTTTCCATATATAGACTGTATGGACTGATCGGTACATTTTAAAACCTTAATAATGTTTGCATTCTACATCAATCTCTTTTATTAAAAAAACACATTTAAGTCTGTTTTCCATCATATGGGCCCTTTAACAAATCAATATGCAACACTTAATGCAGTGTATTTAGTTACCTAGTTCACTTAGTGTGGCAGTGACTCAATGGTTAAAACAGCATTATTTTCTTCTGTTAAACTGTTTAAAGGGCTTATAAAAGAACCAAATTTCTTGTGTTTTTTTTTTAATAAAAGAGTCTAATGTAGTAAGTACACACTGTTAGAAGTTTCAAAATGTACTGTTCACTCCTCAGTCCATGCAGTCCAAAAATGGACAATAACCCACAAAGACAGCTGATTTTGAATGAGCTGAATGAGCTAACAAATATACATATATCTATCTATTCAGCCAACAGCAGTTTAGCCCCACCCATTCATGCTGAAGTTACAAAGAGTGTTTAAGCTCTGACCAGTTTTTGAACAAAGCATAGTACAGGGTATCTAATCAGAATAGAGCTTGTTTACATATGACAGTCTTTAAGGCACAGTAACAAAAACAGCCTGTTTAATTCTGAACGATAAAGGGAAGTTAGAAAATGTAAAATGTAAAAATGAATAATTACATAAATCCACACAAATGTTTTAAGTGGACATCTGTAAAACAAAAATAAATTGCAAGAAAAATGTAGACAATGGGCCCTTTAAGTTTCCAGCCATCACCCAGAGTAAGTGCACTATCATCAGGCGCTGTCTTTAGTGTCAGAAGCAAAAGTACACAGTGTGCCTTAAGCTTGGATGCCTACGTTTCCTGCACAGACAAAAAGCAAAATGGCGTAAATCTTTAGTTTTAAAACTCTGCACACTTCAGAACTGCACGAATAGACAGAATTATTCTAAGATAAATCTGTCCCCTAGATGACACGCTATCAAACTGCACAATGAGTTAGATCTTCCACCTTCAGTTCTTCAGTGTACTGTACAAAGTGAAAAGAATAATCCATTGTTTTCAACCTGATCTCTATCTGCCACATCTGTAGTATGCAGTCAATTAGCAGAACCATTTTTGACATGTTTCTCTGTATTTAGAGAACAACAGATAACCTACTGAATCAAAACATAATTATCATTTATAATTGAAGCCAATGGGCAGTTGCAGGTTTTCTGTTATTTAACCTCCTTTTACAGTAGCCATAAAATCCAATTCCCACCAGTTTGTGTATGATTTATGTTAACTGGAAGCTAACTGGGTTTTCGGCTTAATGGATCAGTAAGCAAGTCAACACTTACAAAAGTGTTCTTACTGTGTTTAAGTGGTGAAACAATCACGCAACTTTGGTCGCTCGAAACCTACATGAAAATAAACTGCACTTGAGTTGCATCGCGTAAAGCCTCCGGCAACTCACTGAAAACTCAGCTGCAACTGTTGCAAGTGTCTCAACTTTGTGAAACAAGCTTCATGAAGCAGCTGATGAAGCAAGCAGTAATGGACAAGAAAATAAAACAAAAGATGGTTTATTGGGTGGTTGTCTCAGAGATGGTAAAGACTAAGTTGATCATCGACCATTGTCCATCATGGTGCTGGATTCCTCATACACTGCACACATCTACAGCAGTTGGTCCATAGTGAGGTCATGATGGATGATCGACAGAGAATCAGCCCAGTGTACGCTGTCAGACAGAGCAGTCAGGACCCAGATCAATTAAAACAGAGCCTGAGAGAATACAAAGTAGGACACTCTTAGAAAAACCTACTTCTGTAAGGTACAAGAAGCGTGAATGGCCAGCTTGTGCTACTTTGTGTGTGTTATGGTTAAACTATTTAGCATTACAAGGATTCTGTGTTTCATGTACTTCAATGCGTCATGTACTTTAATGCGTCATGTACTTTATCACGTTCATGACTGTTCAATAACGCTTTTCTAATTAGCAATAATATTATATTATGTACAGACTTTTGATTGTGGATGGGTTGTGGATTTTCTGTGGATGGAGTCCTCAGTGAAAGCGACTGATTGCCTGTGCTGCTGTTAAGAGCACAGGAAGGCAGCAAATGAGCCAGAACAAAAAGGGGTTTGGTGTAGAACAATGATGAGCTGGTTCAACATATGACATCATTGTGGTTCACAGACCGATTCCCCCTCAGGCTGGTGGTACCTCTTTCGGGCCTGCTAATCATGTGCATGAGTGCTGCTGAAAGTAGACCTGCTGAGCTGGGCCTGACTTCTGCAAACTCTACAGTGGCTCTGATCACTGATCAGGATGTGAAAGGCACTTAGATTAATTTCAGCTCTGTGGGAATCTGTGTGATTTGTAGAAAGACATGCTGTAAAGACTATTACAGCATACATAACTGACAAAATGGGTTTTTAAATTGGCCTCAGTTAAATGAAGCTGCATCCAAAATCACATACTATTATACTATACATACTAAACGAGTGAATGGACTTCTAATGGTGGTGTACTAGTTTTTTTTCTATGTACTATTTAGTATGGTAGTATGTGGCTTTATACACAGCATAAGTGTTTTAAAACATACTGCAGAAATCAGAGAAATGTTTTTTATTAATTATTGGTTAATGTCAAAAATCTAATGTGTTCTCGACCCTGTATTTGCCTCAGTTTCTAACCTATGACCTCTGGCTGTCCATTAGAGTGCGCCACCTGGCGTTAGTAGTGAATAATTGTTTTGTTCTGATCTCGCGAGTCTCCTATGATCTGGGAAAAAAGTATATTAAAATCAGTAACCAGTATACAACGTGCTTGAATTGGTTCTATACCTGGTCATTATATGGAAGTATTGTAGATCTTTAAGAAACGTATATGTTTAGTTACTTTAATTAGCTTAATTGAATTAACTGCAAAAACACAACTTATTAAAACTCAAGACTGTATTAAAATATCTTGTTCCTCACTATTTAATGCCCATTAATGAACATATCTGAAATTTTAGATGTCTTTCGGTCCATATTTTCACTGAGCTTGCCTGAGCAAAATTTGAAGAATGGCTGAAAGGTAAGTTATCTTCACCCATCGTAATATGTTCACATTGGACTACAAAACAATAGCAAATCCAAACTAGATAAGTAAAATAAAATAATAAAAGTGTGAACATTGCATGGAAGCAAAATAGGTTCTGAGGCATTTTTCATTGTCTTTAACTTAGTTGTTGGACATGAATGGGTTAAAACTGAAACAGACCTTGAATGAGCATGAGCTTTACAAGTTAACTCATTTCTCTCTACTTCGTGGCACTCAAAACAAAAACAAAGAACGAACAAAAAAATCACGTTCTCAAGGTGAATTTTAACGCTGCCCTCTTCGCCCTTTCTCATGCCTCCGTGCAAGTCGCGCCGCTGCTGTGGGTGTGGCCTCTTCGATTCAGTTTACCGAACCGATTCTTTCGAACTGAGCATTTTTGGGAATCGAACGTCCGATTCAAAAACTCAATTACCCACACATCTACAAACTCTTAGAAATCAAACAACTAACAGTAAATAAACTATCGACTGTGTTTTAAAATTGAAACCTGAATGAGTGAAGTCCACTAAACATATTGTGGCGTCAGAGCACGCTCTGTTCCCATGATGCTTTACTCACGCTGGGCCGTATTTGGTTCTTAAAACAGCAAGTAAAGGTTCTTCAGCTGCATTTTCAAGTATGTGATGTTTAATTTTAAAGGTTATGTGTACGCTGGAGCAGTTCGGGTAGGCACTAGCCACGTTTACATGCAGCCTGATAATCCGTTAATAATCCGACTAATAGCTCAATCGGAATAGAACACGTCCATGTAAACACCTCAATCGGAATAGACTAGTCCGATTGAGGCCATTCGGAATACAATTTCTATCCGATTGAACGAGGTGGGCAAACTTCTAAATAATCCGTTAAATAGAAGAATAATAGCCATGTAAACGCCTGAATCCGATTACATTCCAATCGGAAGTATGTTCTGCGCATGTGCGTCGCGTCATGGCGAAAGTTTATACCGTTCAACATGGCGGAGCAGAAACGGGTCTGCAGAGGAGACGAAGTTTATGCTCTGAGCTTTAAAAGACGGCGGTGGGACGGACGTCCAGCTTATGAGTCTCAGTACACGACGTCTTCCTCTCGCCGCTTCCTTTATAAGCACATGTGAAGCACGTTTTCCTGAGTCTGACATCATTTTAAAGCAATTAAAACACAAGCGCGCCAACTGGAAACTCATCTCACGCGGACTGGACCTCACGTGATGTTCGCTGTCATGGTAACGTTTACTCTAAACGCTACTCCACGCATGCGCGTCATTTTGCATCGGATTACTTGTAGTGAGCATGTAAACGAAGATTTTCCATCAAATCGTTGAATAGAGTGTGCATATAAACACCTCAGTCTGAATCTGTAATCGGATTGTATTCAATCGGATTGGCAAAAATCTTTGCATGTGTGAGAGTATTAGCTACAGTTTAATTCATAACCCCCGGCGGGATTTGGTTAGCGGACACGGTCCTCCTCGAGATGTTCCTCTTGGAAATACGAGCGATTTTCCTCTTGTACTCTGGCTTCCGGGTCAGTTCTTAATAAAGCTCAGTTATGAGCAAACAGCAGAATTCTCTGCGCTTCTTCTGTGTTACGGTATATAATGTTAAAGCAACATGAGAGGGAGTGTGTTATAACACACAACCTCGAGTGTTCTATTGCTTTTATACAACAGTGCCACGTTCACGGCCCAATTTATTTATTTATTACTTTATTTATTTAACTGTTGTATAAAACAGTTATATAACTGCGACCAAATCACAGCTGTGATGTAATTTTGCGATAACACACTCCCTCTCGTGTTCTATTGCTTCTATACAACAGTTAAATAACTAAAGTAAGAAATAAATAAACTGGGCTGTGAACGCGGCATTTAATGTTTTAATGTTCGCAGTTCCTTCCGCCAAATTATAGTTCCTTAACAAGCAGCTTGTTGCTACGTCAGAGTAACGAGCTCCGCTCACTCGCTGCACAGCCGGCAGTTCGTTCAGCTCCTCACACAGACCAGCTGACAGTTTCGGAAAATAGTGCAGCCTCATTTTCAGAGTCTGACCAAATCTGCTGTCAGTCAAATGTAATCTTAAAAGTATCCATTTTCTGTTTGTGAGTAAAGTAAGAAGTAAAAACGTTCGAATGGCTTGATCGGCTCCTAAAGCTGTCAAAGTCATTGCTTAGCAACGGCGTCTCAGCGGAGTGATACAGTGTTTGTGAAAAACCTGTGACGTTGTGGCGAAATAATCAGATTGCGTGGCCGGAACTAACTGTTGTATAATACAGGATAACTTCCCACATATGCTGTGATTTTGTGAAAAGACTTTGTGAGAAAAATACCCTAAAGACTTATGTTTATAACCAAAGATAATATTTGAATGAACAGTAAAGTGGAGCTAACATTTACGTGCTGTTTCCTCCATCCAGCTGAACATATTGTGCTTCCCTGCAGTGTGTTAAGTCCAGAGAAACCGGCTCGGTCAAGTCTGCATAATCGTTGCGAACATGGCGAACCTTCCCAGAGGCGGAGGGGACAAGGTGAGGAGGTACGGGCCGAAATGAGACTGGGGGACTTGATTAAGAATCATGTTGGTGGTTTGATATCTTTTACTAATGTAGCCAGCTACAAAGACCTCACAGACCGACCCGGAAAACACAAAGCACATGAGTGAAATATAAAGCCACTCACAGTCTGCTGTGAGAAAATGTGAGCGATTTAAATGAGTTTTTCTAGATATGCTACAATGTGCTGTTAATGTTATGAAGCTGCAAAAGGCCCGTATTCGTGTTTTATTAGATACCTTCTGTCTAACAGGAACGTAAACTTTGTGCAGATGCTGCAAAAGGTTCGATTCTTGTGAATCGGTTCGACGGCTTTATTGAAAAGAGTCGGTTCAAAAGAATGATTCTGACAGAAAGGAGAACATGGCCACGAGAGGGTGGTGGGCACTTCTTCCTCGCGCGAAGCTCGCTCCTTTCCTGCCCTTCGCTTGTGGAGCCTGCAGGAATGCCCCTTACCACAGCCTGTGTTCAGCTCCCGTCCAGCCCGGCGCCGTCAGGTAGCTTAGCTGAGTTAGACACTGAGCTTGTGTAGCTTGTTCTGAAACGTGTTTGCTGACTTAAACGTTTCTCCTAGAACACGAAGCTCCGCCGTTGTGGGGGTCTGGGGGAGTCTATAACGTTAGCTAACTTTAGCCGGGGGTTATCTTATCTTGTGTGTCATGGCTGCCTGTGATCTTGAGTCCACACAGCGAGTTCATTTGTTTATGGGTCATGAAGGCGACATGTGTAGGCGGAGCACAGCAAGACCATGTATGTTGCATCTGGTTTGGTGGACTTTTTGCATTTGCCGCCGACAGACAGCAGGTAAGTTTAGGGCGGTGTGGATTGTTTCTGGCGTTTTTCATTTCGCGTGATGAGCTGGGTGCTACTGGAGAAATAACTTACATCCAGAGTGAAGTGGGCTGGTCTGTTTCACTGGCTAATGAGAGACAAAATTGGGAAAATGGCATGTTTATAAAATAGCTAGTTAGCTTGCTGGCAATGATACCTAATGCTGCCTCCAGGTTCTCAGAAATTCATGCTTAAGACTTCTGAGTTCGTAAGAATGACTTGATTTGTGTTCAGGTGGTTTTGGTCGGAAACGAGGTGGAAGAGCTGGAAATGATGCTTGAACCACATATTTGTGTCTTCGTGTGAACGGTGGCTGCTGAATAACTGAAACACAAATTCATTAGCTGCCACGCTTTAATTGGGGGCTCATTGAAAAATACGTTTCTCACAAGACACGACTTGAAGGCAGCATAAGTTTCATGAAGTGATTCGGGAGCTGCTTGTCCCAGTAATCAGTGTGAGGCTTTGCGGCTGTAGCTTTAAGGGCTGTCTGGCTTCAGCTCGATCATGTTTGCCGCTGCACGCTGAAACTGCTGAAAGGGTTTGGCTTGGCAAAGAACAGTGTTCTTGGTGTTTTGGTCTACTAGTATACAGCAAATCGGGTGGTCGTTTTCCTGCCCTGTCTTTTTTTCAATTATAACCAACTTTGCTGTCTGTCTCAGTTATGTCAGTGCTTGTGCGTTGTGTCAGCATACTTGCCTCTTTAGTGATGTTGACCTTTATACAGAGAAACGTTCAGTGGACATAACTGGACCATAATGTGTTAGGGAGTGATTTAAAATAGTCAAATAATTTGACCTACAGTGATATTGAATGCATTGTGGCTGGGTATATGTATAAGTAAACATGAGTGTAAAACATACATGGAGGTTTAGAAATTACAGTGGATGGAGAGGCAGGTCAGTGATTGGGAAATGGGGTTTTATGAAGATTTCAGACACTGGTTTATAATTCTGTATGGGTGTGGAGTGCTTGACAAAACATGCCTCTGTCAAGTCTGGAAAACGTTTTTAGAAAGACAGCATAATTTCATATTCAGTCTTGTGGTCACTGTTGGTCAGACTCAGAGTAAATGAGTTCACTTACAAAAACAGCTGTCAATTTTAATGAATTAAATGTAACTTACAAAATTAAACTTTATTGAAAACCTTTTTGTTTTTTGTCAAAAGCAGATAACTCCGATGGTCATTTCATGTTGAGTTAAACAAAGCTATGTAATGGATACACGTTTCTTTTAAGTGGAATATTTAACATTCTTTAACATGTAACAAGTAGGTAAAGTGCTGAAGACAGCAACAAACAACCTATTAATGGGCAATATTAAACATCTATATCATGCATCATATGACCATACAGATTCATCTTGTAAAGTAATGGGCGTAGTCTCGGAAAATCCAAAGGCTGAATCTCAAATGGCTCACTGCTCCCTATGTAGTGCACTATGTGAGTTGTGTAATTTTGGCTTTAACACCAAATATTACACTTTATGTCCAGTATGAATTGTGCACACATGGCTGAATCCACAGTGGTTCTCTACTATACACACCGTGCTCTGTTTTAGATGCAGTAGCCGTTGTTTTGGGACCCTCGTGCTGCACCGTGTGGGGAGAAGGGATTTGAGATTCTGCCTAAAACAGTTCTCGGCAGTGTTGCGTCACCTGACCCGAATAGCGCGCGCTGATTCGCGGAACGGATTTATCGGCTCTGCTGGAGAAACAGCGCTGAGTGTTCGACCGTTTCTGCTGTAAAACGTGAACTTGCAGCTCCTTGAAAATGGACGATAACAGCTTTTGTGACAACGTGTTTAGGGTTCATAATGCGCTCTGTGTTAGAATAACTCACGACAGTCATAATAACGTTTTATTAAAGGATGGCTTTTCTCGGTTTTTGCAAGTGGGGCTGAAATTCATGATGTTTTCACGTGGTGTACTCAGCATTAAGTCCTCAAGCAGAGTGGAGTTTTTCTGTTCCATTTTGTCTGTCCGACTTATGAATTCCTGCCCTTCTAAGCGGGCAAACACATTCAGCATAAATGTACAATAGGACCATTCAGTAGGTTGTCAGAATTTTGGGCAGGCTACGTTTTTGCTTAGTTACTTTTTAGCCTAAATAAGTATGTGTCTGGACAGTTTATTAAAACCTCAGATTCACCTTGTGAAGTAAGGGTGTAATGATACATAGTTTCGTGTTTAGTAGTTAGTTTTTGATTCTAAAGCCAAGACTCTGTTTGATTTCTGATATTTTGTTGTGTTTAAAATACATTGATTCTTTAGAGCCAGAACATTTAATGCATATCTGTAACAGAATGGCTAAAGAGGGGTCTTTGGAATAAGCAGATCCCACTAAAGTACTCAGAAAGGATTTGAGATATTAAAGTGGGATGCACTTACTAGAATGGTACATGTTCTGCATCAAGGAGTTGGCCGAAGTCCCTCCTAATTGTTGTAAAGGGCTGATAATGAGTTACAGGAACTGCTTACATAGTGCTATATATTAGCTGCGGTTAACACCCAGTGTTGAAGCCTGGAGTGCACATACATTCTTAGGTGCCCCAAGAATCTGGATTCTGCTGCCGTTTGTTCTGTAAATAATTACTGATTGTACCTTTTTCTGTTTTGCCTGTCATACTAATCAATGAAAATCTTGGAACAGATAGTCATGTTCCAGTATGTTTAAAAAAATCTTAATGTAAACTGATGTGATGTCATTTCAAATCATAAGGTAAGTGCAGTTTCACAATGATACACAAATCTGCTCAGTAATGTATGATTTGATGCACCCAGCCAATAAATTTTGCGTTTCTAGTTCAGTTCACATTTATTGGCAGTAAACAACTATTAAAGTCTGCTTGTAAAGTATAACTGCTCTAAAACAAAACAAGCATTGTAAAATATATGTATATATATTTTATTATATATTTGTGTAGCGATGTTTTTTATTAACTTTCTATGCTAAAGAGTCTGTGTTTCTGTAGGTCCTCTGCTGTCATGTCTTCCAAGGATGCTACCCTGACTGGGGTAATAGCACACAAGATCAAGAAGGGCATCACTTTCTATGTAAATGAGAGTACAGTGAACTCTGTGGCTGCTGGCCCACCTGGCCAGCCCAAACCCCTCCTGCTTCTGCTGCCTTGGTTGGGCTCCAGGCCTCAGGCTCAGGCGAAGTACTGCGAGATCTACCTCAGAACAGGCTTTGATGTACTAGTTGTGGAGACAGAGGTGGGAAGGTTCCTCTGGCCTCGCTGGGGGCTGGAGTATGGCAGCGAGTTGCTGGAGCTTCTGGAGAGTGAGCGTTTCTCACAGCGCCACCTGCTGGTCCATGCCTTTTCCATTGGAGGTTACACTTTTGCCCAGATGCTTGTTCATATGGCCAAAGATGCCCAGCGCTACCAGGGTGTGACCAGCAGGATCAGAGGACAGATATATGACAGCCTGGTCATGGGCTCTCTGGAGCGTATGGCTATTGGTAAGTAAGGACAGCGAGTGTGTTACTTGTTTAGAGCAATTAAGTTTACATAATGAAGTTTAAGTAATATGGCTGTAGATTTGTATTCACCTCTGTGTTTCCTCTGCCATTAAATTAGCTGGGCAGCCTACCCAACCAAAGCTTGGGGCAGATTCAGTTTCTGTGTGGTACTATGCGCAGGTGTTTTGGCCAAAATAAAATTCTTAGGATATAATTTAAAATGTAAATGCACTAAATTCAAATCTGGACCGGTTTCAATAATTATGTTTGGCAGAGGCGAGCTGGCTAAAGTAAAGTAGATCTATTTGGGCTTTCTTATGAGTCCAAACAGTATTTAGTGCTGTATTAAGGAACTATTAACTCCATCCTCATACATTACTATAGACATATATATGCATTATTCTTTCACTTGTAATATAAAACTTGTTGTATTTACAATTATCATGTCAATATATTCTTAAAAATAATTCATGACACTACTCTGGCCTGTACACGCTATAACACTGGGAGCTACAAAGGGTCTACAGTCCATCCTGAAAACAAATCTGCAGAAAACACTGTATCATTTACTGCCCTTCGTTTTCTGTGGTTTTGTTGCACTCCAGGCGTGAGTAGGACCGTGTTCCCTCGTGTTGGGGGTGTAGTGAAGCGTGCCAGCCTGCTTTATTTCCACATCTTCAAACGCCAAACGGTGGACTACTTCAACATGGGAATTGACGCATTCTGGAATACGCCTGTGACAGCTCCTGCACTTTTCTTCTTTTGTCAGAATGATGCACTGTGTGATGCAGATTCTATGGAGGAAATGTTGGAGCATTGGGGTAAACGGGGCATTACTCTGTTGAGTAAAAAGTGGGAGAAGTCTATACATGCAGGGCATCTTCGTGCCCATCCTCAGGAGTACCTATCCATTCTAGAAAACTTCCTCTGTTCTCTCAGTATGGTGCCTCTCAAGTCCAAAATGTGAAGTGTCTTTTCTTTAACATGTAAGACTTTATTCATCATACATGTGTACTGTTACTGTATGCAGTAAAGTTAGTAAAGTGCCTTCCTAAGTGCTTTTTTTTTTTATTAAAAAAAGTTTCTTTAATGTACTGACCTAAAATTTGTGTGTCTATATAAATTTATTAAGGTGGAGTCAGTAACGTACCATTTCTCATCACTCTTAGGAAGTTAAATCTATGCGGTCTTTTACTAATTAATGCTTTTGTTTAGATAGATGACAATATTTTACAGTATATTTTTGTTGAAGTTATTAGACAATTAAATAAACCAAGTTTTAAACTAATGTAAGTCCATGTTAACATTGTATTGTGTTTAAATATACACACTCGTGCAAAAAAGGGCCAAGCCCAAAATACTGATGGTTTTGGCCTGGTCAGAGTCCAGATTTAAACCCTATAGAGAGAATATAGTTCAGTCTCAAACACAAACTAGCTTGGCAGTGTTTTTCAATTGTTTAAAGCCATCAGTGCTGAGTGGAACAATGTTGATGCAGGTTTACCCACAAGACTTCAACATATAAAGAAATCACAGAGAAACACTGTCCTGTACTAAGTTTCTTTATCTATTTGTTTAATGAAGAAATTAGTTTAATGTGTTTTATTCTTGCTAATTTACTGACTCATGATTTGTTGTCAAGGCCATTAAAAGCTTAATGTTTTGCCATTTTGGGCTTGGCCCATTCTTTGTGTGTACATGAGTATATAAATGTAAATATTGGGGCTGTATCCTAATGGTTCAGTGGAACTTCCTTTCTTGTCTGTTTGCCTTGATTTTGCCTGATCTGTAGCACCATGGCTTCACTAATGTGCTGTCAAACTGACTTGCAAGTGGATCCACATGGATACCAAATTAGGCACAGTCAAAGAAAGTGTATTGGAAATAAGGTTTCATTCAACTATTCCAAGGAAACAATGGTATGTCTGTGCCAAAAGTGAGCGACAAAGGAAAGATGAATAACTGGGAAAACATATAAAGCGCAGATACTTCAAGACAGGTGGCCAGCATGATACAAATAAGCAGTTAACATAACTACAGTGATCTGTGAAATGTATGAAAAATCCGAGCAGGCCCAGCTGGGCTTGATTTTGGATCAAGATGGAAAGATCTATGTGAATTTTAAAGAGGGTTTATTGTACCAAAAAATGTTAGAGAGGCGGCCTCAGTGGGCCTTTTTAAACTACTTAAAAAATTCATTTTTAATGTAGCTTATATTTAGCAACATGCTGTTATTATTTGTTCATTTATTCATATTATCAATTCTATTTATGATTCTTTAAATTGTTTTATGCTTTATTTATTTATTTATTCTTTTATTTATATGACCTTCTTTGCTTTATGCCCCTTGGGTAGAGTGGTTTATTTTTGCTTATTTTTGCTGTGTGTTTTATCTATTGTTATTTGTTTGCCAATTTGTAAAAGCACTTTGAGCTGGGAAAGACTCAGTAAATTAGGTTGGAAATTGTGGTGAAAAGTGCACATTCAGTGAAGGTGATGCTTGTGAAGTGCAGTAGGGCTAACTGTTTTAAACTGAGCTGAAAGCCTGCTTAAAAATGAATGTTTACAGCCCAGATTCAACTGGTTCCATTTAGTAGCAACATACTAGCTAAATGCTGCTAGTCCAGTTAGGAGACCATTACAGTAATTAATCCTGCTAGAAATAAAGGCATGAATGAGTTTCTCCAGGTCTGGTTTAGTCAGAAAATCTCTAATCTTGTTATAGGGTTGGGCGATAAAATGATAACGATAAGTATCGCGATATTACTTTTCCTCGATAGAGCGATAAGACAGGTTTGATAATTTTTCGATATAATACACCATTCTCACACTCCCACGTTTTAGCGAAAGCCCTGGTGGCGCTGTCTATTGCAAGGAAAGCGACACTACTCTGCTGTCGTCAGGAGAGGGCGCACCTCCGATTTTTTCGACTTGATTTGAGAGGGAGGGGGCCACGAGTAAAAAAAAGGGTCGCCAAATATACTTACAAATATACACGGCTGAAACGTGGAGTTATACATTCCCTGTTTGAGTGGAGCGACCGGCGATCTGTTCTCCTGTCACCGAGTCTGAGTGACGAGATAAGTGACGTAACTGTACTGTCCTACGGTGAACTTTCCGTGCATCCTAACAACTTTAGCGGTGTTAAATGACGTCTGCAGCGCCGTGTTACAGCGCCAAACCGTCATATTTTAGTATTAGTGCATTCCCGAGCAACGAAAGTGAAAGAAAGAAGTGGGTTAATGTGAGTTACAGCACTGATTTAAACGAAAGTAAACTGAGGAAGCTGTGAGGCATTGGAGAGCGGGAGAGCGCTATCTTTCCAGGCTAGCTGTTTTTAGCTGCTGGCTAATTGAAGCAGCGCTCCAGCGCTCCGGCACAACACGGTGAATTGATACGGTAGATCAAACAAGACACAAAATCACCGCTTTCAGTTTAAACATACCTAAAAGGAGGACTCTGTTTGGCTGCTGTGAGAGATTCACACTGCAGATAATGCTTTTACACAGCGAACGTCAGATATTTTGCGGTTCACCCCTTAAACTACTACGATAGCATAGAGAAACCCAGTCGTCGCTAGCTGGTGTCTGAATACTGTGATATGCTCTGACATGGATGTGGTAGGAGTGACAGCAGTGACCTACCGAACCGAGCTGACGTTGTTGAGAAACTAAAGAGTTTAGCACTGTTGTTGGCCACTTGTTTAACATTTGTAACGGGATAGCCAAGTGCTCGTCACCAGACAGCTAAAAATAATGTTTTCTTTCTTAAATTATGACTAATACAAAAATTGCAGCTGTGCTTTTCCAGCTGATAAAAACAGTTCAGAAACTTTCTCCCACTCTCCCATGACAGATTTGTGAAATGTTCCACTGTTTGCCGAGTGTTTGTCATGATCGGACCATAAGTGATAGTTTAAAACCACAATTAACCACCCAGGAGCAAAATCAGCCTTCAAACATGAAAGAAATAATGATTTGACATTTATCGTAATATGTATCAATATCGAATGATATGAATTTTGCTTATCGTGGTAACGTTTTTGGCCATATCGCCCAGCTCTATCTTGTTAATATTCCTACGGTGATAAAATGCTTTTTTAGTAACTGCTTTGACATAACTGCTAAAACTGAGATCAGCTGAGACCATTCGTACACCCAGGTTCTTTAGATTTTAGGTTTTTCGAATCCAGATTAGCAGCTAGTCTGTGCCTCTCATTGCTATTGCAAAATAAAGTAGTTTCTGTTTTATCTTTATTCAACTACAGAAGGTTTTATCCCATGCAGTTAGTGATGTGCTTAAGGCGCTTACAAAGTGAGTCAAGGGGACCATGGTTGTTTGGGGAGAGGGCCAGGTAAATCTGAGTATCATTTGCATAGCTGTGGTAAGATATTCCATAGCGTTGTAGGATTTGGCCAAGAGGAAGCATGTTTGAATTAAATAAGAGATGGCCCAAGAACCAAACCCTGGGGGACACCACAGATCACTGGCACGCTCTCAGAAACATTATTTCCTATTTTGACAAAGTAGTTTCTACCTTGCAGGCATGAACTGAACCATTTTAGGATTGTTCCTGTGAGTCCAACCCAGTTCTCAAGTCTATTTGTAAGAATTTTATGGTCAGTGGTTTCAAAGCAATGTTTATCAAACCTCAGGAAAACTAAATATTGTGATGCATATAATATTATCGTAAAAAACGTCTTGAAGCACTACTGTCAGACATTGAATACCAGACTCTGGTGTGCTGGGAGCTGGAAGAGACTGAAACTGTGGACATAGGAAACATGACACAGATCACTCAATGTTCATATGTATATGCCATGACGTCTGAACAGTGACATTACTGGTGGCACACTATTACTGTCAAATCTGTGAGGACTGAGAGAACTTGAGAACTTTCAGATTCACAGCTCATCGCTTTTCCCTGTTTTTTTCTCAATGCTAGTTTTCTGGTCAGTTATGAAGAAGGTGCATCTGTTGAAAAATCCACATTAAGACAACAAATTTACACGTTGCCTTTTTTGTCATCCGTCTTTATAAGACCAGACATATCGCCGCGTCCCAAACCACACTTCTGTACTTCACACACTACGCTAATGAATGCACTTCTAATGGTATATGCGCTATTTTCACACACTATTTAGTGTGCTAGTATGCGGTTTGGGACGGGGCGGAAAAGTCCAAGTAGGACGAGTCCTATATCTTACGTTGGTCTGTCCTCCAGTCCTATGAGTGGCGCTGTTTTGCACGCACTCGCCCATCTGACGTGAAAAAGAAGTAAGCGGATGATGACTTCCGCTCGGACAAAACATGTCAGCCTTGTAAGAAAACGTGACTGTTTACGGTCAGCGCTGTGGACGGATTTTGACACCAAACCTACCTGTTATATTTGTTTCCAAAACGGTCTGATTTGCATTTAAGCAGTGCACTCAGCAGAGCGAGGCACTTTGGCTGGCTGGCCGCTGTAGCCGGCCCGCCGTTAGCGAGCCAGGTTAAGAAACTTGTGAAGTTCAGCTCGGAGGGGTCCGGCTTTTCTGAGTGGTCTGCAGTTTTAATAAAGTCCGTGTTAATCTGAGCAGAATGTCAGCAGCGACCTTATTTGTGTCGAACTTGCCCGCCTCGGCGAGCAGTGAGCGTCTGGAGGAGCTGTTCTCTGAAGTGGGACCTGTGAAGCGCTGCTTCGTGGTCAAAGATAAAGGTAAGTTCAGTCAGTTCAGGTGATCTTGGGGAGTGTAGCTGCATTCTGGTGTGGGGACCATGATGAGGGGGTGAGCCTAGCGAAAGTGGAGCATTTTTAGCAAAGGGTACATGATAAAAGCTATATGCTGATGTATTTTGTGCGTTTTCACACACCTCGCAAATCTGAATGTGCTACAACTGTATTGAATAGTCATTTAAGTCTTACAGACTCCGGAGCTCAGGCACCATCTTTCATTTAAAATGATCAGATTAAGTGGACAGTGTTATAGGCGTATTAAAAAAAGCTTAGTTGTCTACTGTCAGTGCAGTGGTGGCCTACATAGATAAAATATATATATATATATATATATATATATATATCTAAACAACTACAAACGACACTGACTTCTTTATTTAAAAAATAAGTTATTTTAAAAGGAAGACTTCAGCAGATTCCATGCTCTCACAAGAAAGTGCGGCTGACGTTCCTCCAGTCTCTGTTTACACCTTTGCTAACTTCTTTCCTTCTGCTGTCTCTCCATTAATCCATTTGCAGTTTTTGACTCTTGTCTTCCTTTATGCTGACTTTTGTCTGTCTGTCCTGTCTGC